CCACTCCAGGACCTTAATGTGCTTCTTGAGCCACTCCTTTGTTGCCTTTGCCATGTGTTTTGGGTCATTGTCATGCTGGAACACCCATCCATGACCCATTTTCAATGCCCTGGCTGAGGGAAGAAGGTTCTCACCCAAGATTTGACGGAACATTGCCCTGTCCATCGTCCTTTTGATGCGGTGCAGTTGTCCTGTCCCTTTGGCAGAAAAACACCCCCAAAGGCAGAATGTTTCCACCACCATGTTTAACAGTTGGGATGGTGTTCTTGGGGTCATAGGCAGCATTCCTCCTCCAAACACGGTGAATTGAGTTGATGCCAAAGAGCTCGATTTTGGTCTCAACTGACCAAAACACTTTCAACCAGTCCTCTGCATCACTCAGATGTTCAGTGGCAAACTTCAGATGGGCCTGGACATGTGCTTTCTTGAGCAGAGGGACCTTGCAGGCACTGCAGGATTTCAATCCTTTTCGGCGTAGTGTGTTACCAATTGTTTTCTTGGTGCCTGTGGTTCCAGCTGCCTGGAGATTATTGATAAGATCCTCACGTGTAGTTCTGGGATGATTCCTCACTATTCTCATGATCATTGACACTCCACGAGGTGAGATCTTGTATGGTGCACCAGACCTAGAGAGACTGACAGTTGTTTTGTAATTCTTCCATTTGCGAATGATTGCACCAACTGTTGTCACCTTCTCACCAAGCTGCTTGGCGATAGTTTTGTAGCCCAGTCCAGCCTTGTGTAGGTCTACAACTTGTCCCTGACATCCTTGGACAGCTCTTTGGTCTTTGCCATGGTGGAGAGTTTGGAATCAGATTGCTTGATAGCTCCTGTGGACAGGTGTCTTTTATACAGGTAACAAAATGAGATTAGCAGCACTCCCTTTAAGAAACTGCTTCTAATCTCATCTTGTTACCTTTATGAAAGACACCTGGTAGCCAGAATTTCTGCTGAATGATAGGGGATCAAATACCTATTTCCCTCATGAATATGCAAATCAGTGCATAGTTTGTTAGACATGCATCTCTTTTGAATTTTGTGTTGCTTTTCTGTCTCTGTGTTACAATACACCTACCATTTGATTTTTAGACTGATCATTTCTTTGTGAGTGGGCAAACATTCAAAAATCAGCAGGGGATCAAATACTTACAGTGGGGCAAAAAAGTATTTAGTCAGCCACCAATTGTGCAAGTTCTCCCATTAAAAAGATGAGAGAGGCCTGTAATTGGCATCATAGGTAGACCTCAACTATGAGAGACAAAATGAGAAAAAAAATACAATCACATTGGCTGATTTGGAAAGAATTTATTTGCAAATTATGGTGGAAAATAAGTATTTGGTCACATACAAACAAGCAAGATTTCTGGCTCTCACAGACCTGTACCTTCTTCTTTAAGAGGCTCCTCTGTCCTGCACTCATTACCTGTATCAATGGCACCTGTTTGAACTTGTTATCAGTATAAAAGACACCTGTCCACAATCCAAGTCACACTCCAAACTCCACTATGGTGAAGACCAAGGAGCTGTCGAAGGACACCAGAAACAAAATTGTAGATCTGCACCAGGCTGGGAAGACTGAATCTGCAATAGGCAAGCAGCTTGGTGTGAACAAATCAACCGTGGGAGCAATAATTAGAAAATGGAAGACATACAAGATCACTGATAATCTCCCTCGATCTGGGGCTCCACGCAAGATCTCACCCATTGGGGTCAAAATGATCACAGGAATGGTGAGCAAATATCCCAGGAGGGGGGGGACCTAGTGAATGACCTGCAGAGAGCTGGGACCAACGTAACAAAGGCTACCATCAGTAACACACTACGCCGCCAAGGACTCAGATCCTGCAGTGCCAGACGTGTCCCCCTGCTTAAGCCAGTACATGTCCGGGCCCGTCTGAAGTTTGCTAGAGAGCATTTGGATGATCCAGAAGAGGATTGGGAGAATGTCATATGGTCAGATGAAACCAAAATAGAACTGTTTGGTAGAAACACAACTCGTCGTGTTTGGAGGAGAGAGAATGCTGAGTTGCATCCAAAGAACACCATACCTACTGTGAAGCATGGGGGTGGCAACATCATGCTTTGGGGCTGTTTCTCCACAAAGGGACCAGGACGAATGATCCATGTACAGGACAGAATGAATGAGGCCATGTATCGTGAGATTTTGAGTGCAAACCTCCTTCCATCAGCAAGGGCATTGAAGATGAAATGTGGCTGGGTCTTCCAACATGACAATGATCCCAAACATACCGCCCGGGCAATGAAGGAGTGGCTTCATAAGAAGCATTTCAAGGTCCTGGAGTGGCCTATCCAGTCTCCAGATCTCAACCCCATAGAAAACCTTTGGAGGGAGTTGAAAGTCCGTGTTGCCCAGCGACAGCCCCAAAACATCACTGCTCTAGAGGAGATCTGCATGGAGGAATGGGCCAACATACCAGCAACAGTGTGTGCCAACCTTGTGAAGACTTACAGGAAACGTTTGACCTCTGTCATTGCCAACAAAGGATATATAACAAAGTATTGAGATGAACTTTTGATATTGACCAAATACTTATTTTCCACCATAATTTGCAAATAAATTATTTCCAAATCGGCCAATGTGATTGTCTGTATTTTTTTTCTCATTTTGTCTCTCATAGTTGAGGTCTACCTATGATACCAATTACAGGCCTCTCTCATCTTTTTAAGTGGGAGAACTTGCACAATTGGTGGCTGACTAAATACTTTTTTGCCCCACTGTATTTCCTTCACTGTATACACAGGTGAAACTCAAAAAATTAGAATATCGTGCAAATGTGAATTTATTTCAGTAATGCAACTTAAATGGTGAAACTAATATATGAGACTTATTACATGCAAAGCAAGATAGTTCAAGCCGTTATTTGTCATAATTGTGATGATTATGGCTTACAGCTCATAAAAACCCCAAAATCCACAATCTCAGAAAATTAGAATATTGTGAAAAGGTGCAATATTCTAGGCTCAAAGTGTCCTACTCTAATCAGCTAATTAAGCCATAACACCTGCAAAGGGTTCCTAAGCCTTTAAATGGTCTCTCAGTCTGGTTCAGTAGGAATCACAATCATGGGAAAGACTGCTGACCTGAAAGTTGTGCAGAAAACCATCATTGACACCCTCCATAAGGAGGGAAAGCCTCAAAAGGTAATTGCAAAAGAAGTTGGATGTCCCCAAAGTGCTGTATCAAAGCACATTAATAGAAAGTTATGTGGAAGGGAAAAGTGTGGAAGGAAAAGGTGCACAAGCAGCAGGGATGACCGCAGCCTGGAGAGGATTGTCGGGAAAAGGCCATTCAAAAGTGTTGGGGACTTTCACAAGGAGTGGACTGAGGCTGGAGTCAGTGCATCAAGAGCCACCACACACAGACGGATCCTGGACATGGGCTTCCTCTTGTCAAGCCACTCCTGAACAACAAACAACGTGAGAAGCGCCTTACCTGGGCTAAAAAAAACAGACCTGGTCTGTTGCTCAGTGGTCCAAAGTCCTCTTTTCTGATGAGAGCAACTTTTGCATCTCATTTGGAAACCAAGGACCCAGAGTATGGAGGAAGAATGGAGAGGCACACACTGCAAGATGCTTGAAGTCCAGTGTGAAGTTTCCACAGTGTTTGTTGATTTGGGGAGCCATGTCATCCGCTGGTGTTGGTCCACTGTGCTTCATTAGGTCCAGGGTCAACGCAGCCGTCTACCAGGAGATTTTGGAGCACTTCATGCTTCCTTCCGCAGACGAGCTTTATGGGGATGCTGACTTCATTTTCCAGCAGGATTTGATACCTGCCCACACTGCCAAAAGCACCAAAACCTGGTTCAATGACCATGGGATTTCTGTGCTTGATTGGCCAGCAAACTCACCTGACCTGAACCCCATAGAGAATCTATGGGGCATTGCCAAGAGAAAGATGAGAGACATGAGACCGAACAATGCAGAAGAGCTGAAGGCCGCTATTGAAGCATCTTGGTCTTCCATAACACCTCAGCAGTGCCACAGGCTGATAGCTTCCATGCCACACCGCACTGAGGCAGGAATTGCTGCAAAAGGGGCCCAAACCAAGTACTGTGTACATATGCATGTTTATACTTTCAGAGGTCCGATATTGTTCTATGTAAAATCCTTGTTTTATTAATTGCATGTAATATTCTAATTTTCTGAGATTGTGGATTTGGGATTTTCATGAGCTGTAAGCCATAATCATCACAATTATGACAAATCACAGCTTGAACTATCTTGCTTTGCATGTAATAAGTCTATATCATATATTAGTTTCACCTTTTAAGTTGCATTACTGAAATAAATGAACTTTTGCACGATATTCTAATTTTTCGAGTTTCACCTGTAGGAATCTATTGTTTGTTTTTTTTTAAAACTGATCCATCTATGGCCATGTTTAACTGGTTTGAGGGAGGGGAGGGGAGGGTCATTTTACCTTTTTTCTGCTTTTTTTTTTTTTTTTTTTCTTCTCTTACCATAGAACTTAGAAAAAAAAGATAGGAACGGGCAGGACTTTTTAATGCAGACAAGATATACTAGGTCTCTTTTTTTTCTTACCTGGTTGTTAGCATTTTACACCAAGCTCTGCACACAGAGCTGGTAGGAGTTCATGTTGATATGAATTTTTTAAAAGGGGATAGTGAAGGTCAGCAGCACTATGATGTACAGCAGAATTAAAAAAAAAAAAAAAAAAGTGAAAACGGCACTGTTTGAATAATCATGGCAAAATGCTATGATACACAGAGCTTTAACAAACTAAATGTCATCCTGTTGAGGTTAACCTCTGCTTAAAATACTAAACATGTCAGGATATAGAATGTTGAGTCCACATTCCTCCAGCATCATGGTGCCTGGATCTGCACCTACAGTATATCACTGGAAATTATTCTATACATTGACATTTATTCACAAGTCATGACCCTCACAGTGATATATTTTACAAATATATTGGTATTCTTTTTTTCTAGAGCAGTTGTTTCTCTATCACTCTCACCATGGCAGAATATTCTAAAGTAAAATCCACCAAGCTGGTGCTGAAAGGACTTAAGGATAAAAGGTAAGACATTATGCCAATCTGTAATTGGTTCGGATTTTTTTTTACAAATAAGTTATACTTACCTGTTCCGGGTTAGGGGCTCACAGCGAGCTTTGAGCAGTGAGGGGATCATGTGATCGCATAGAGGATGCGATATCATTCATAACAGCTGTGCTTCCTTTAGAGTGGTGATGTGATTGGCCCACGGCTATCACATGGTACCATGTGATTAGCTGTAGCCAATCACAGATCACTAGTAATCATAGCTGTTATGAATGTAACCCATTCGTGACAGTTCAAACATTGCTGTTACAGTGATCATCATGACAGCAATCAAAACTGTTAAAAAAAAAAAAAGTTGTTCCCCCCTCTTCCCAGAGTAGTACAGTGACACTGAACTACTCTGATGAAAGTATGTTAAAAAAAAATTGTAAAGATAGAAAAAAAGTTTTAAAAATTTGAATTAAAAAATTTTTTTTTTTTTTGTATTAAAACAGGGTCCTGATCACCATCGCACCAGTCATATGTTGATACTGTACTGCACCTTTGACAGTATGTTTAAAAAAAAAAAAAAAATTGTGAAAAAAATTATTTTATTTAATTTCTTCATTTTCAAGAAAGATTTTTGACAAATAAATTACAAGTTCAAAAACTCACCATCCCTTTTACTAAATACCTCAGACTGTGCACTTTCCAAGAGGTCATTTGTGGGTGTTTGTACTGGCATTTTAGGAGCCTCAAGAAATAGGCTGTCAGTACATCAGAATTATTCTGTCTTCAAAAATCTTTACTATAGTTTGTAGACTCTATATCTTTCTCACAAACCAATAATTATACACTTATTGGGATTTTTTTTTTACCAAAGACATGTAGCAGAATACATTTTGGCCTACAATTAAAAAGAAATTAGATTTTTTTTTTTTCATAGGATATGTTTATAAACAGTAAAAAATATAATTTTTTTCAGAATTTGTGGTCTCTTTTCGTTTGTATAATAAAAACACCCATAGGGAATAAATACTACCAAAAGAAAAAGGGAAAAGTTGCTCATTTTCCATATATCTTTTTTTCATTTCGTGGTCAAGTTTCTGAATCTAAGCTTGGTCTGTGGAGGTAGGCTAAAAATGTTAGACCATCTGCTTTGCATTTTTTTTTTTTTTCCATTTTACTTTTTTTTGTCTCTGTGAAGAAACAATGATGTAAGATGATTTGTTCCCTAATGCTTCCACTGGGACAGAGATCCTGTCTGCATCTTCAAATCTAGTTACCGGTATTTTTGGTACTCCTTGCAGGCTCTATATTCTGTGTTATACTGGATCACCAAACAATTTTCTTTTAGGGAGAAATTTCTGTTCTTAAAGATCTATTGTAATTGTACAAAATTATGATGTACTGAACAACTACATAAATTACCATTTCAATGCTGCATTTGAATGGTTGATATTGGCAGAAAACAACTGGAGAAAGGATTTAGAAATCAAAATTATTTAAAATTTTCATGCAATGTCAGTTCTTCCAATACATACTCTTCCCTGAGGAAAAAGGAATGTCTGTGGCCTAGCCATGCCATATACTCAAAATATTGTGTTGGTTGCACAAGGATCATTAGAAGGGAGTTTTCCCTATAACCCTTCAAAAACATCTGTGCATGTTTATTACAATAACTTAACTGGATTTTTTTTAAATATATAATAAAGTAAGGAACCTATACGGAATGCTTAAAACTTTAAAAAAAAAAGTTTAAATAGGGTAGCAGAGAATTAAAACCCCCATCAGTTTATTTATTTTATTTTTTTTTGCTGCCTGAGTCCTGTTTTAGAGATTTCCATGCACTTTCTGTCTTGGAGATTCAAAAGGAAGTGAGAGGAAATCTTTGCAAACGGAAAACAATCCCTGTCATAGTTATCAACAGAACAGGTTTCTCCATTGTAAGATTTAGTTTCATCTTTTGTTCTTGTGACACCTCCAGTGTTTTTGATTTCTTGTCACATTGGCTATCCAGATGTTTGGATTTCTCATAGAGTATTATATTGATGTTGGCTATTGTGTTCAGACAGCCACAGCACCTGGTGCATCCTATCCAATGTATTCTCTTTTCAGACAACAATTTTCCACCCAGCTCCTTTTTTTTTATTTTTTTTTATTCAAAGTTTATCAAGCCAGGCGGTGCTGGCATAGGAGGAATCTAGCTAGCTGAGACACAGACAGCAATAAAAACTTATGAATTAAGTGGAAAGTGAAGTACCTCAGAGTGTAATAACACATGGACTCTACAAGTATAGACTATAATATTTATTTATGGTGCTTATATAGCGCCGTCAATTTACGCAGCGCTTTACATATATATTGTACATTCACATCAGTCCCTAACCCTCAAGGGGTGTACAATCTAAGGTCCCTAACTCACATTCATACATGCTAGGGCCAATTTGGACAGAAACCAATTCACCTACCAGCATGTCTTTGGAGTGTGGGAGGAAACTGGAGTACCCAGAGGAAACCCACGCAGGCACAGGGAGAACATGCAAACTCCAGGCAGGTGGTGCCGTGGTTGAGATTCGAACCAACAACCCGAGTACTGCCAGACGGAAGTGCTAACCGTTTAGCCACTGTGCTGCCCTAAATAGGGATTTGTGCTTTTACATATTTTTATGTAACAGTAAATATTTTTCTATTTATTTGACTTATGAATGTCATCTCTAATGACCCAATGTTGCTCTAAGACCCTGACCCTTCCCTACTCCATAAAAAAAAAAAAAAAAAAGATTTAGCTTCATATACCATTCAAAACCCCTCCTTTTTTGCTTCCACTTGAAACATATCTCTCTATTTCTTGTCTATAGGAAGTAGCAAGGTGAGAGAAAATCTCAGTCATGAAAAGTCCTCTTAGGCAATTGTCACTGGAACAGGTGTCCCCAATGGAAGATTTCCTGCCACCTCTCTTTCCGGTGACAACAGTGTTATTTTAGATTTCCCATCTCTCAGCAGAAATGCTCAGGAGAGAGGGAGCATCTTCTCAGCAATAAGAAGCTATCAGGGGCTTCAACACTTCCCCACTCTATCCAAACATAGATATGGGTATTCTTTAAATAACATCTTTCTTTCTAGTAAGAAGAAGCACAACAATAAGAAAAGAAAGCTAGAGGATTCAGAAGAGAATAAGCTGGACATTGTTGGTAAGTCCGTAGGATTGCTAGCTTATTTTAATACTTTTTTTCTCCCCCTGCAAGCTATATTGTACATGTATTCAAAAATACACCAGTCACTGCTAGTCAGGCTAGTGAATGCTAACCTCCTCTGCTAACTCTGGTTGGCTAGTAGATTCTGGGAGCTTGTCATGGCTGGGGGGGGGGGAGTTGTATACTAAATACTGTAAAGAGTCCACAGCCCCGACTGATAGCAGTGATGGTGGTCAGGGACCACATGGGTAGTGGTAAGCCAGTTGTAATTTAATGATAATAAATTGTGTGTGTGTGTGGGTTTTTTTTTTTTTTTTTTTTTTAAGTGGTTGTAAAGGCTCTATGTTTTTTACATGCATTCAATGCTACTTACCCGAGCCTCACCACGATCCAGCAATGTGCACAAGAGCCTCGACTCTCCTGAGACTCTCTCTCCTCATTGGCTGAGACATTTAAATCAATCACAGCCAATGAGAGAGAGGGGGCAGGGCTGAGCCACAGCTCTGTGTGAATGGGCACACAGAGCAGCGGCTTAGGAGCGAGCATGCTTGGGTCCCCTATATCAAGTTGCTTGCACTGGGGGCACCCGATAGTAGCCAGGAGCACCGGCAGGGGATCGAAGAAGAGGAGGATCAGGGCCGCTCTGTGCAAAACCACTGCACAGAACAGGTAAGTTTGACATGTTTGTTGTTGCTGACCAGAGGAGCGTTCGCATGCATTAGTTAAGCTGACAGTAACTGTATGACTAATTTGCCTGCCCTAATTTTTACATTGTTTTCTAAAGAATACAATCTTGTACTGTTGTATTAAATTCTGCTCAGATATTTTTTAAATATTGTATCTGACTATTACAGTATTAAACAATGGCATCTGCAGCCTTAAAGTGGTTCTAAAGCCTTAAGGTTTTTCACCTTTATGCATTAAGATGAAAAGCTTTCTGTGCTGCAGCTCCCCCCTTTTTCTTACCTGAGCCCAATCCAGCGATGTGCAAGAAAGCAGCGGCTCTAATCGCTGTCTCCCTCCTCTATGGGCAGATTGATAGCTGCGGAAGCTATTGGCTCCCGCTGCTGTCAATCAAATGCTGTGACACGGCAGGAGGTGGGGTCTAGCCACCCGCTCTGTGTCAATAGATGCAGACAGGGCTGCTTGGGAGTGAGCATGCACAGTTGCCTCCATGGAAAGTGGCTTTCTGTGGGTGCACCTGCCAAAGAGGAGGGGCCTGGAATGCCAGCGAGGGACCCCAGAAGAAGAGGATAGGGGCTGCTCTGTGCAAAAGCACTGTACAGAGAAGGTAAGTATAGACCTGTTTGTTATAATTAAAATTAAAAAAAAACAAAGGTTTAATGACACTGTAATAGTTTTAGTTGGTGAATGATCCTGTAGTCTACATATGATTATAGTGATTGGCTATCATAGTGATTGCATGACCAGGAAATAAAGTGATTAGTTCCAGTGGACCTTTTTGCTGTCCGTAACAGGATGGTCTAACAGGAAAGCTAGCCATACATTTTACAATGTTTTTATTCAATTTCCTTTAGATTTACCTTCAAATGTGTAGTGCAAAGGCCTCCCTGATTGCATACAAATCGAAACTGTTTAAGTTTGACTTTATATATTATATGGTCTTCGTAAATCTAAAGGAAAATTGTTTAATGTAACTCAGCCTTAGAAGTGCATATCTGTCAAATGAGGAATGTAGATCAATCTGCAAATTGCAAAACCATAGCAATAAATATTTGGGACCGTATACTTGTTGCTGCTTGTGTACTAAACTCTGCAATGCTCAATTTATATCTAGCTGATTGTTTGTCTTGCAAACTGCATAAAAGCTGAAAGTTAACACAATGTTTACACTGGCTTGGACATGTGGTTACAGTTATCAAAGCATTTGGAAAGAAAGGGCTGATTCAATATATCCAGAAAAAGCAAGCAATTTTACAAACAAAATCTATTAAAGAGCTAATGCAGTTTAAACATACACTTATCCTTTAAGTTCTCAGCTAAAATAACTTATCTCTGTATTTCAGGAAATTGGTGGACGGTCAAATGTTTTGGTGACATTTCAGGGATGGTAGCCATTGAAATGGACAAAGGAGCTTATATCCATGCCCTTGACAATGGTTTATTTACTATAGGTGCTCCACATAAAGGTCAGTATTTAACCGCTCTACTGTGGGAATATTTTTCTTTTTTATTTGCTTCCATGTTAAAATGTACATTTTCGGCCTGAAGAAATACCCCCAAAACACTATGCATTTTATGAAAGCAGAGACCCTACAGAAAAAAAATAATGGAAGTGGCTTTTTTATGTCATACAATAAATGCTTTACTGCTAATCCAATCCTATATTTTCATCAAAAAAATACACTCAGATAATTTAATGCACAGACACAATATAACTTTTTGGTAAAATATAAAAGATAAGGTTGCATCAAGTAAATAGATATCAAATCTGCCTGGCCTAAAAATTGCGCACACCTGTAAAAAGACAAAAATCTATGTTACCCAAATTTGTCTACAGGTAATGCTTAAAAAGCTATTACATTGTATCCGTTCAGAATTAACTAAGATGGCCCTGAAATTATTGCTCTTGCTCCGACGTGCACAGCTATATCTAAGATGTTTGGTGCAATCTTTGTTTCTATACCTTTGAACATCTGGAGCATGTGAGTGGGGCTTTTAAAATGATGGGGGTATATTTTTTTTTTTTATTTTATTAACCTTTTTTTTTTAACCTTTTCAAACTTTCAGGCAAAAGGGGGCTGATAAGGTGATAGCTTCCCTTTAAGAAGACATTGGGTCTTCCCCTCCCAGCTAACCAGGTCAGAGATTGTTAGATCTGAAACTGGAAGTGCTCACAACTGAGTGCTTCTGGGTTCATTCTTTACAAGGGGGGTTCAACTGATACACCCCCCCCCCCCCCCCTTGAGATCCTGGGCACCCAAGATAGACAGATGAACCCGTGACACAGGGGACAACACATTACTGTACATGTAGAAGTCTGTTTCCATGCTGGTGCTGCCAATTAAGTAATAGTTACATCAGCAACAGTGAAAGGATTAAAGTCACTTAGCTGCTATAACATATTTACATCTTTGTGATAATATACATATCTATTCACATAAAACATTTTTATGACTTTATGAATCCACAGTGACAAGCAGATAGCAATGTGTACAGCCTACATAAGTGGCAACTCTGCTCAGGATTATGAAGCAGTGCAACATTGTTGCCATCTCCTCAGGGGAAGCTGCATTAGGTGGACTTCATTGGTAGGAACAACAGATATTTGCTGGACTTTGAAGTTGTACAAAGAGAAAACTATAGATGCATATGCACTCATAATTAAGTGCTGCAGCATATACACTATATTGCCAAAAGTATTGCGACGCTTGCCTTTTATACGCATATGAACTTTAATGACATCCCAGTCTTAGTCCATAGGGTTCAATATTGAGTTGACCCACCCTTTTGCAGCTGTAGCAACTTCAGCTCTTCTGGGAAGGCTGTCCACAAGGTTTAGGAGTGTGTCTATGGCAGGGCTTGAAATTTCCACTCGCCTGCTCACCAATGGTGAGCAGGCTCGGAGCTCAGGCCAGATCTGTCATTGGCACTGGGAGCCGTCAGACTGCTCAATAGCTGAGCGCAGTGAAAGTAAAGCAAGGAGTGTGTGCTGTGCTCTCTGCCTCCCCCTAGAGTGCAGTACCCGGATCTGTGAACAAGGAAGTACTGCAACTTTTTATGGGTGTGTGTGTACGTGTGTTTGTGTGTGTCTGTGTATGCATGTACAATTGTACATATTGACAACAGGCTGTAGCCTGCTGTCTGAAAATAGGTCACAGGTGTTCAGAACAAACTGCACTCCTGTGATCCATAGAAGTGGGGCCAAAAAGCTTTGGCCATGCTCCTTCTTTAATATTGACACACTGAAGTGTGTGTGTGTTCCCTCTCTCCCATAAGAAATCCGTGTCAGTCTTTGTGGACCTTGTTGATCCTCACTTGAATTAAATAAGGATTTACTATTTTATTTTCTTTCTAGATGATGATGGGCCAGCTCCACCAGAACAATTCACAGCAATAAAATTATCAGATAGCAGGTAATGAGCTGGTTATGGTTATACAAAAATTGGAGGTGGGTGTTTGTAATGAATATACAACAAAGCATTGGCCTGACCTTGTACAATTTTTAAAGAGAACTATGTAGTTCTTGACAATTAACAATAGTTATATTTTAAATCTTAGGAGAAGTACTGTTTGCTACAGTGTTAGTTGCTTCAGTGTCCTGCCAATCTCATGGATATAATACACTTCTGGGACACTGACCCAGTAAAATATGCAGGTTATGTGCAAGTTTTGACTTCACTTGTCACATGCTTGTTTAGCGTCTCAAAAGCTAAATTCGGAGACAACCAGGCAATGGCAATCACATGTATTCCTCACGAATGATTTAATTTAAAGTGAACATTTGTATTTTTTGTACAGCATGTTTTGTAATCTCATACTGCATGAAGGCACTTAAAGCGGGCCCCTGGTTTGCCCATGTAGAATAAAGCAACAGAGTAAAGCAGTGAAGAAAAGAAGCCTTATGTCATGACTTGAAACTTACAGGGCTGAGAACTTATTTCCAGCCTCCATGTGACATTGTCAGGCGCCTAAGCAGCCAGTCATTAAACATCAGCACAGCCTCATGGAATGATGGGAAGTGAGTCCATATCTTCCTTGCATACATTTAGGCACCAGGATTTTTTTCTTCTGGAGTGGCAGCTTAACAGAGGCAGGTAAGTGAAGGGAAGGTATGTTCTGCTGGTGGGGTCACCAATAAAGTGAACCTGATACGTCCTTGCATGGGTAAAGCACAGACCACATACTTGCTGTACTCATAATACAAATGTATGAGTTATTTTGTGCAAAAATGTAAGCCCTGCGATATTCTCATTCTGAACTTGGTCTTGGTTTGTTTAATACCTTTTTAATGAGTCTTGTCTCTTAAAGGATTGCACTCAAGTCTGGTTATGGAAAGTACCTTGGCATTAATTCAGATGGACTGGTTATGGGCCGTGCCGATGCTATTGGTGCTAGAGAACAGTGGGAACCTGTATTTCAAGAAGTAAGTTCACTATGTTCATGGCTGTCAGTCGGTCAGGTGTTTTGTCTTCAAAGTACCTTTAATGCTGCAAAGAATCATCTGACTTGAAGACAGTTTAGCCTCTAGATTTAAAGTGACTTTGTTGCAAAAACCTTTAAATACAAATGTACCTGTAAAGCATAGAGTAAATACCTTACCCCAGCCACCCAATATCACTCCAGTGAAGAGGAATCACTGGCTAAAGTGGTTGTAAACTTCTGAAATTACATTTGAACAAAGCAAATCCCTCTATAGTGTGTGCTTGTTTCAATCCAGAGCACTAAGTGTCATTCCTGTCTGCTGCATTGTTCCTCTGCTATCAGCATGAGTCACTTCTGACAAGTTTTCTGGACACCAAGAGAAAAAAAGTGTCAGGGGAGGGCACAGCCTTTGATTGACAGCTTCAGTTCTGTTCTTTTGTGCTGTGTAAAGGGTGGTTTGTCCCTTCTCTCCAATCAGCTGTTAGAGCTCTCCTTACTGCTCCCCACCCTCTTTTTCAGAGCTGAGAGATCCTGTGTAAATTCTGCACTTCTGAATGGCTGTAGGGTACAGAAGGCTATAGATAAACATGTACAACCAGGGGTGGACTGACCATTTGGAAACACTGCCCCGGGGTCAGTAGGGGGCCCCATGAGATGCCCCTGGTACCTTTTTCATAGGCTTTTTTGAGTTTGGGCAAGTACACAGGGGCCCCATGATCCCCTATTGCCCAGGGGCCCCATGAGTTGTCAGTCCGCCCCTGTGTACAACTTATGTAGGAGGATTTGTTTCCTCACTGTGTATCACCTTAGGCCAATTATTTACGAAGTATATGTAAGGGTTTACAACCACTTTAAATCTCCAAGACCATTTCCAGGTGTGTCAGTCTCCTTTGCCCCCCACTGTACTTATTGGTTTCTCCTGCTGAATCTTAAAGCAGTTGTAAAGGCTCAAGGTTTTTTACTTTCATGCATTCTATGCATGAAGGTGAAAAAACCTGTGCGCAGCAATGCCCCCAGCCCCCTCACTACTTACAGTGAAGGAAATAAGTATTTGATCCCCTGCTGATTTTGAATGTTTGCCCACTCATAAAGAAATGATCAGTCTAAAAATTGAATTGTAGGTGTATTGTAACACCGAGAGACAGAATAGCAACAAAAAATTCAAACTTGCATGTCTAACAAATTATGCACTGATTTGCATGTTCATGAGGCAAATAAGTATTTGATCCCCTATCATTCAGCAGAATTTCTGGCTACCAGGTGTCTTTCATACAGGTAACAAGCTGAGAATTAGAAGCAGTCTCTTAAAGGGAGTGCTGCTAATCTCATTTTGTTACCTATATAAAAGACACCTGTCCACAGGAGCAGTCAAACAATCAGATTCTCCACCATGGCAAAGATCAAAGAGCTGTCCAAGGATGTCAGGGACAAGATTGTAGACCTACACAAGGCTGGACTGGGCTACCACACTATCGCCAAGCAGCTTGGTGAGAAGGTGACTACAGTTGGTGCAATCATTTGCAAATGGAAGAAACACAAAACAACTGTCAGTTTTCCTAGGTCTGGTGCACCATGCAAGATCTCACCTTGTGGAGTGTCAATGATCATGAGAACAATGAGGAATCATCCGAGAACTACACGTGAGGATCTTGTTAATGATCTCCAGGCAGCTGGGTCCACAGTCACCAAGAAAACAATTGGTAACACTATGCTGACAAGGATTGAAATCCTGAAGTGCCTGCAAGGTCCCTCTGCTCAAGAAAGCAAATGTCCAGGCCCATCTGAAGTTTTCCACTGAACATCTGAATGATGCAGAGGAGGACTGGTTGAAAGTGTTGTGGTCAGATGAGACCAAAATCGAGCTCTTTGGCATCAACTCAACTCGCCGTGTTTGGAGAAGGAGGAATGCTGCCTATGACCCCAAGAACACCATCCCAACTGTCAAACGTGGTGGAAACATTCTGCTTTGGGGGTGTTTTTCTGCTTAGGGGACAGGACAACTGCACCGCATCAAAGGGACGGTGGACGGGGCAATGTAGCGTCAAATCTTGGGGGAGAACCTTCTTCCCTCAGCCAGGGAAAAATAGGTCGTGGATGGGTGTTCCAGCATGACAATGACCCAAAACACACGGCCGAGGCAACAAAGGAGTGGCTCAAGAAGAAGCACATTAAGGTCCTGGAGTGGCCTAGCCAGACTCCAGACCTTAATCCAATTGAAAATCTGTGGAGGGAGCTGAAAGTTCGAGTTGCCAAATGTCAGCCACCAAACCTTAATGACTTGGAGAGGATCTGCCAAGAGGACTGGGCCAAAGTCCCTCCTGAGATGTGTGCAAACCTGGTGGCCAACTACAGGAAACGTCTGACCTCTGTGATTGCCAACAAGGGATTTGCCACCAAGTACTAAGTCATGTTTTGTGAAGGGGATCAAATACTTATTTCCTTCACTGTACCTGAGCTGCATCGAGATCTAGCAATGTGCATGACAACCTCTGCTATCCTGGGTCTCTGCCTCCTCATTGGCTGAGACAGCAAGCGGGAGCCATTTGATCCCGCTGCTGTCAATCACAGCCAGTAAGCCAATGATGAGAGAGAGGGGGCAGGGCCAAGTCACGGCACCATGTGTGAATGGACACACAGCAGTGGGTGCCCCCCTAGCAAGCTGCTGTTTATTGGGGCACCCGACAGAAAGGAGGAGCCAGGAGAGCTTGCGGGGGACCTGAGAAGAGGACGATTCAGGCTGCTCTGTGCAAAACCACTGCACACAGCAGGTAAGTACAGACATGTTTGTTATTTTACAAAAAAAAAAAATTAACCTTTTTAGTATCGCTTTAAAGGCAATAAATACCTTCACCTTGTGTTTATCGCCTGCATAAGATGTGCATTGATCATGTAATTTCACAGTGTCATTTGTTGCCCTGGATGCACAGGTTATAGTAGTGAAACTATTCACATTCCTGTATCAGAAATTTCTGTTTGTATTGAAACATGAGACATGACACTGCACAGGTTAAGTCCTCATGCACACTGGACGTTTTTACAGCTGCTGTTTTTGGCTTTTGGTGTTTTTTTTTTGTTTTTTTGTTTTTTTTTTTCTGCAGCCAGTATACTCCCCAGCATGTTATCCTATGTGTCCATACACACATAGACTGTAATCAACTTTTTTTGGCAGGGGATTTTTTTGGGTGGAAAAAACCCCCGAACTAGTAGGTTTCTAGAGGAGTTCTTTAGCTGTAAAAACGCTCTAACACTGAAAAGCACGGTAAAGCGCGGTAAACTGGCATTTTTGGATGTTTTTTTGAGCAATAAAAAAAGCTGAAAAAACCCAGCTAAACGCAAATGAAAAAATGCTGAAAAATTCAAGTTTTTAACGTGACTTTACACAGCTAACATTACTAGCGTTATTAAAATGCCTAGTGTGCATGCAGCCTAATGCATGACCTCTGCATGTAGTCCTGTGTGGTACGGAAACTGCAAAAAAAATTTTACAAAACACATGTGATGAAACTATGTATCCCAGGCAGATTAATCAACAGAGTTTACTATGCTTGAAGACGTGTGTTCTCATCACAGTAGCAGTCCCACATTTGTGATACAACACATGGGAAATCACAAAGCATGCACTGGCCACTGAATGACCCAGAACATGCAGTTACCTGTCTCTAGGATAAGCCTGCTGGATTAATACATGGACATAAGGGAATTAATCAGTTATGACACTACAAACTGCAGCCTCGACATATGAGCCCATCATTACAAGGTAAGGCACACAAGCAAAACGGAGATTAAGCCTTGGTTCACATATATGCGGTGCGGTATATCGTATGTGATTCGCACAGGAACTGTACCGCATTCCTGTGCAAATCACATGCGATTTGTGTGCGGTGTGATTGGAGCCATACATCTTGTATGGCTCTAATCGCACCCCACAGAAAACGTGCAGGACCCTTTTTTTGGTCCGCACTAGAATCGAATCACATGGGTGTTCACACCTATGCGATTCGATTGTGCACATCACACGGCGTTTTGCGGACCGCTTTCTGGGGGGGGTTGTTAACATACACACCCACAGCGGTTCGCATGAATGGGGTGCAATTCTGATGCGATGCAGAATTCGCAATGAAAACGCTGCAAATTCTGCCCTGCATCAGTGTGAACCAGGGCTAAAACCACACAGAATACCGAGTTAAAACAACAAAAACACTTGAATGTGTACAATGCCATTAAGTCACCACAGTGTCTTGTACTGATGCAGAGGTCAGAAAGAAGAACCTGTAAAAGTAAGGGGTACAGGGGATCGATACTCCCTGAAGTGTTGGTTTTGTAAGCTACAAGTGGGAATTCTTTCTCACTAAATCAGTGTTTGGTGGTTCAAGCAATGGGAGAGGTACAGTAAACATTCACTCCTTTACATCCTTAACACAGGTACAGCCGTATTTAAAGTGATACTAGAGGCTCAGTTTAAAAAAAAAAAACTTTATACTTACCTGCTGTTTGCAGTGGTTTTGCACAGAGCAGCCCAGATCCTCCTTTTCTCGGGTCCCCCACTGGCGCTCCTGGCCCCACCCTCCTGTTGGGTGCTCCCAGAGGAAACCGTTGCTATGGGGGCACCCAAGAAGGCATGCTCCTGAGCTGCTGCTCTGTTTCCAATCACACACGGAGCCGTGGTTCAGCCCCACCCCCTATCTCTCCTCATTGGCTCACTGGCTGTGATTGCCAGCAGCGGGGAGCCATTGGCTGCTGTCTCAGCCAATGAGGAGGGAGAGTCCCTGGCTCTCGTGCACATCACTGGATCGCTATGGGGCTCAGATGAGTATTGGGGGGGAATGCTGCACGAGGGTTTTTTTTTATCTTCATGCATAAAGGTAAAAAACCTTGAGCCTTTACCACCACTTTAAGTTGTTCTGAGCACATCATACCTTTCAGGGAATATTCACACCTACAGTATGTTTTTTGTGTTGATTTATGATGTGCAGAGCATTGCTCATTAAAAACAAATGTAGACATGCATTGTAACGTGTTTCATGGAGATTGTATCGGGGGGATGCATAGATTGAATTGGCACTCCAATATGTGGACCTGCTTTCTATTGTTCTTTTGACTTTTTTTCCACTTATTCCTGAATTTTGTCTACTTGGACTGCTCTCTGAGGAACTATGGCCCAGATATGTCAAGGCATTTCTGAAGAAATCTTATTTTTGGCACAAAAGCAGATCGCACGTAAATGGATGCAGGCCTCTCCCCCCTTGATCTCTCACTGGATTAATGCTATCATCCAAATCCTACCTATAAAAAGTCATATCCGAACATAGAGGTCTGGGACGTTTGGTGTAATTGAACGCACACTATAACTGTCAATGAATGAAGAACACATTTTCTATTAAGATCTGTCTGTAGGATGCCCATGTTTTACCTTTTTTGGCTGGCAGCTTACAATTGTCTTATAGCAATATAAAGGAGAGAGTTTATCTGTTTATTGATTTAGACTTTTCTTGCAATGAGAAATACCCATTTCTGCATATTTCATTGTGCGCTTTGTAAGCTATCTTCCCTGTTATTTGAAAGTCTCAAGCAGTAAACAGTGTTTAAAAAAAAATCTGTTCAAAAGCAGATAATACAGCATTTATTTATTTTTATTTGTCCTCAAGCATATACTGTATTCTCCATATGAAAATAAGAATATCAGGCTGGTGACAACAGAAATTCAGCCTGTCTCAGCCGTTGTAATGGTAGATAATCTTCTCTTCAAGCTCCCAAAGTACAAGGTATGGGGTCCTGACCTCGCTAAGGCTGGCCATACATTATACAACTTCCTTGTACAATTTTCCTTTAGATTTACCAAAGCCAGGTCAAACCTGAATCTTTTCAATTTGTATGCAATCAGACAGGCCCTTGCACTACATAGTTGAAGGTAAATCTAAAGGAAATTGAACAAGAAAATTGTATAATGTATGGCCAGCTTAAGATGGAGAAATTGATAGAATTGATCCTTTGAATCTTAGGTTTTCCATTCTGACTAGACCTTTATGAATCAGAATTGAAAGAATCGCTTCAGTTATTTTTCCCTATTGTAACTCAATGTAAACCTTCCTTTGTAGTGAAAAATGGTTACTATATAGAAAACACTGTTAAACCAACTTCCTCTGTAAATGAGTTTGTGCTTTAGGTGATGAAACATCACTACTAAGTATGAAGCATATTACTTCAATACTGAATGTAATAGAACAATATGCAATTATTTTCAGGGGAAAATGGCTTTGCTGGCTTCAAACAGCTGTTTTGTTGGCTGTAATGAAGAAGGGGACTTGGTAGCACAAAGCAAGGTTGCTGGTGACGGAGAAATGATAAAGGTAAGTTTTTTATCACATTTTCATATTCCTTCATGGCAGCAGGAGAGCTGGCAATGTTGAACTGTGGAGAGCAGTACAATTCTAATTTATTGCTGAACCTTTTAAAGCGATTTTTTTTTTTTTTTTTTTTTTTTTTTTTTTTTAATATAGAAAGTAGTAAAAAGTACTTTTTTTTTCAATCACTGAGGGGCACAGAAAGTCAGATACTGTTGGGTTATACTACCAACTACAGGGGTTTACAAAACAAAAAAAAAATTGTAGGCCTGTCTCAGGATAACCGCTCCTTTTACCTTGCATGCCTAATGTTTTTTTCTAGTGTCTTAGGGCACTTGGATTGGCATTTTTTCTTCAGTTTTGCTAGCATTTTTATCTTCATTTTAATGTTTTCTCTTGAATTTTTCTATTAACCACTTGCCTTCCAGAAGATTTACCCCCCTTCCTGACCATTTTTTGCAATACGGCACTGCATTACTTTTAAACTGATAATTGCACGGTCATGCAATGCTGCACCCAAGTGAAATTTATGTCTTTTTTTTTTCTTTCCCATAAGTAGAGCTTTCTTTTGGTGGTATTTGATCATCTCTGCATTTTTATTTTTTTGAACTATAAACAAAAAAAAACTATTTTGAAAAAAAAAACAATATTTTTTACTTTTGCTATAAAACATATTCAATAAAAAAATTTTTAAAAATAAAATTTCATAAATTTAGGACAAAATGTATTCTGCTACATGTCTCTCCTAAAAACAAATCCCAATAAATGTATATTAATTGGTTTACGTGAAACTTAGTGTTTACAAATGGCAGTATATATAATGTTTTTTTTTTTTTTTTTTATACCATTAATGGCGGGAATCAGCAATGGTGGGACTGCGGCGGGCATTCTGACACTGGGTGGGAATTGACCACTGACATTTCCAGTGACACTAATACCGTGATCAGTGCTAATAAAAAGCACTGACACTGTACTAATAACACTGGGCAGATAAGGGTTAACATCTGGGGAGAGATCAAAGGGTTAACAGTGTGCTGTGTGTGTTTTACTTCTGTGTGCTGTGTTGTGTTTTACTTGGAAGACATGCTGCTTTGTATCTCTCTGCTGTGCAGAGAGATACAAAGCAGCATGTCCATGCTGACAGGAGAGAGATCTGTGTTTACACACAGATCTCTCCCCTCTCAGCCCTGCCGACGATCACCGAGTCACGGCCAGGACCCTGTGATTGACATATCCAGCAGCCAATAGTGACGCGGGTAGAGTGGCATGTGCGCTCCCTACCGGGAAATGCTACATCATGTATTTTTATGTGATTTTGCGCAGCAGAGCTTCCCTGTAGCAGTATATCTGCTATGGGGGTGGCTCTTAAGTGGTTAATTACCCCTACTCCACTGGACTAGACATGCAACAGACCTCCAGGTCTCTGCTTTTAGACACTGTGTAGAATAGTAATAGTTAGCCGCAAAGCACTTTTCAGGTACAGAGCCATGGCATAGGCTCAGTGCTTATCCCTGTCTTTGAAGACTCACTTTTTGAGTAAGATCTTTTGGGCAAAAGCACCAGGAGCTACCTTGGTGTTGAATCACTGGGTGTCTTTCAGATTCCAGCTACAACTGTTTTCACTGTGGTAAAGGTTAACGCTGAGGGACTGAACAAAACATCATCTAATGGGGTGAGCATGGCATGTGCACACTCCAGTCTTTCCTGCCATTCAAAGTAGAGAAAACACAATCCTGCTGCTGCTCCTACTTTGTGAAGCATCACATGGAATTCCTGTCTCCAGTCTGTTCCTTTTGCCCACCTAAAGTGACCTGGTCGTTTTTGGCCACCCAACCCTGATTGGGCTTCAGCTGTCAGAGTTTGTGAGTGCTTGAGACATTGCCTCACACTTTAACCACCTTCCGCCCGCCCTATAGTACAATGACGGGCGCAAGGTGGTTCTCTCGTTCTGATAGGACGTCATATGACGTCCTACCATTCTCACTGCACATGCGTGGCTCAGGGATGCATAAGACACACAGAATGGGGCTCGGCCCACCTCCGCTCCCTCCTCAGTGTCTGTGATTACCATGTTGTGTTGATAGTGACATTAATTCTAACTGACAGTATGGGTTAAATCCCTCAAAGTATCTCTTTTCTGCCAGTCTAGATCCCCTTTTTATTGAGCTTGTGATTCATATGTCTGGAGCATTACACTTCAGTTGCAAGCATCTAAACTTTGTGTGTGGGTCGCATACACATGAGCAGAGCACTCTGGAGTTCTGATGCCACTTATAAACAGCATCCAATGCTTCTCTTTGATCCTACACTTGATACTGTGATCATGAATACCACAAGAGGCCAGAGCATACTCCTGATGAATAGCATCCTTCTACTTTTTCAGTATGTGTCCCCAGACTCTTCGAGCCTCTCAGACAGCTGAGTCTCAACCCCACTTTTCCATTGCAAACATTGTCTTAGGAGCCGGTTCTTCTCAAGCGGTCATCTATGGACTGAAAGGAGAGGTTCACCTACATGTACTTCAAGTTCTCCTTCTGGGCAGTCCCCAGTTTTGTTTGTTGGGACTATTAGTGATTTAAGTATTTGCGCACAGCTGGACTGTCTGTAGATGTCCCCGTAGTATCTGTATTCCCGTGCCCCTCAATGGCCATGAAATAAAATATAATTTTTGCAATCGCCATGACATCCTTTTCTTGGAATCTACCCCTCTGTGTTTTTTTGCTCATGCTTGCTACAAATCAAAAAATGCTCATTAGAAAAGCGGTTATCCTGAGCTTGTCAGACATTGCCTTGGGAGTCGGTTCTTTCAAACTAGTCATTTGTGGACTGAAAGGAGAGGTTCACACACCTAGGTGTGCTTCAAGTTCTTCGTGGCAGGTATTGCTCACAGTTCCTGTGTCTCTCTGGATTATCAGAAGAATGCACTAGTCTTATATTGCCCGAATCCTCTACTGGGGACAGAGTATGTCTTGACTTTGTTGGACCTGTTCACTCAGAGTTAGGTCCTCCTTCCTTGGCAGATCAACATCCTGCTGAGCAGGGTTCTTCAGATATTTACTCTTTTCTGTTCCTAATCAGGCAAACACACTTGACAGTTAACGTTCCTGTCCCTTGCCCCATGAAAACTAATGTGCTGGGTTGGATGGGTCAGGGGCCTTCTTTAGACCTATAGCTTGAGGACCGGGTTAGGCAGGTGTTTCTTCAGTCTGGAATTAAAGTCTCACCTTGTTATACTGTTCTTTTTATTTGCATAAAAATTTAAATTGTTAAATTGCATCCATGTGAATGGGTCCTTATGCAGGACATCTATGGGGAAAAATCCCAAACTGTTTATAACAGCAGCTGAATGGCATTAACCACAACTACAAAAGCAGCATCAGTGGGCTGTTGACAGTTCAAGCATAATTTGCTAGCATTTAGTCTTTAGAGACCCATATGCTGAGTTTTCATGATTATCTCACCTCATATTGTGTTCTCTGCTCACCATTAGTCACTCCACGTGTATCTCTTAAACCTATTTGACCTGTAAATCAGGAGTTTTCCCCCCCTATCCTGCTAGTTGCTGCTTTTTTGTACAGACCTTTTCCTTCTTAGCTCAGACATTCTCTGCTCATTATAGATCCGATGCTGTGCGGAGAGAGAATCAACAAGGAAAGATGATATTCCTGATGAAGACAGAGGCAATGTAAAACAATGTGAGCTCAATTATGTGTGAGTAGAGCAGCTTATTCATAACTCCCATTTCATGACTATTGCCTGTGATTTCCATTAGAATTGCATAACATTTCTGGAGTGACATGTATTAACTATGCACATTTGAAGGGAGTCTGTAGTCTTTTAGTGTTTCTTTAGTATGTGGATGTGATCCGTTTAAAGTGAGCCTGTGACCAAGCTTACAGACATTTAAGTATTTACAAGTTATTCTCTAAGAAGGGCTTTGAAACAAACCATCAATTCACCACTCATTAGGTACGGTACAGGCACAGTGGAGAAATTCATCATTAAATGTTTCCCAGAAGTCATTTAGGTTTTTATTTAGCAACTCCGCTCAAACCACTCCCCTCCTACAGCTCCTGTTCTGTGTTTACATTAGAGATTAGAATGCTGGAAGATTGCTCAACTAATGTTTGTGAAGGAGGGCAGAGAAGCTTATCTAGCGGAGAGAAACCACTTGATGTGAAATGTGCGGATTAATTACTCCAAAATGCCTGCAGCTACAGAGATCAGTGAAGGCTTGTTTTAAGCTCATTGCGTATTACAAATATGTGAATACACAATGACCACTTAAATGTAAAGAATGTTAACAGTGAATGTCCTGAAAATGGTAGTTTCTTGTCTATCATGGTGTTTTGTTTTTGTTTTTTTTATTCAGTTTCTTTTAGAAACTTTTAGGATAAGCTTGGTCAACTTCATTGACAGCCTGGTATTTTTTTCATTGTATCCCCTGATATACAAATAACCACTGGAAGGAGAATTTACAAATTTTTTTATGAAATACTGTTATGAAAATATGGAGCAGCAAGCAATTGAAATTGTTAGAGTTGCATTATAAATTGCTTTCAAGCATATATACTTAAAGGTTTAAAAACTGTAGTCTGTTTTTTAATGGGCACATGACACAATCTGTGATTGATTTTTAGAAAAAGAAGCTTTATAAATAAGATGAATCTGTGCTTAACTTCCCAATCCAGTTCAAGAAGAAAGATATATTTACTTGGACATCATTGAATGAGTGAACTGAACACAGCTTCACCTTATTTACTAAACAAAGTAAATATCCACTTTTGTAAGTTAACAGTCTTTAAAGGGTAACTCCACTTTCAAGGGGGAAAAATAGCAAGTAAAAAAAGAATAATATAGCATATACAGTTGCTACATAAGCCATATTGTAACTGAATATTATTAAAAATTACCTTTCCTTTTCAACCCACAGCTACTGTAATTTTCTGTAAAATGTAATTCAATATGGCAACATGGAGGCATTGCATACACCATTCATGTACAAAACACCCCCAGAAATAGAAGAAATGTCCTGCTTGTGTTATTGGATCACTGATTTTTCCAGAAGTCTACACTAAGATACAAGTCAGATTGTAGGCATCCACCGCAACAAAAATGTAATTTTGGTGACATACTCCACTTCTGAATAGTGTGTAGACCGTGCATTTTCCTCATTAGAACAGTGCTAGTGCATCACCTGATTAATAATGAAAAAAATCTCTCACATTCAGTTTCAATATGCAGACAACAAACCGCTTTTTCTTCAGAGCAGAATGAGGTAGGACTCTGCAACAAAGTGAGTTAAAATCACTGCAGTGTATATTGATGGATTTTCCACTAACTAACAACTGTCTGTAGCAGCTCCGTATTTTAAAATAAAAATAAACCCTAACTTCTTGACATTTTCATTTTCACCCTTTTTTTTTTATTTAAGAAGATAATCACTAAATATTTGGTGTCATATTAAAATAAAAACATGCAAAATTAGCCTATTTTAGTAACTAAGGAAGAATATGTACCTAAGCACCAAGCTGTAGTTAAAAAAAACTCTTTCTTTCATACATGGTCTGTAGTGCAGCAGCTCTTGTTAAATAAATGCTTATGTTGAGTGTGGAGTACATTGACAACCCCTTCAAATGCCTTTTGAGCAAATGATTACATTGTACTGGCAGATAAGCTGTTTACATTTCTATGAATAATGTCACACACTGGGCTTGTCACTTATCTGCTCTGAATAATGTGTGACTAGCACTGTACGACTATGCACATTACACCGGCATATTACCGTTGATTACTTTTTCTGTGAAACACTATCATAAGAAGATGCCATTTTCAAATTATTTGCAGGCTTATGTGACATTAAGCTTGAAATATTATGCGTTTATTTCCTCCTCGAAATGCTGTTTTTATATGACATCACCTTTTTAAATGTATTCAATGCAATCAACATTGTACATACAGAAAAGTAATCACTCACAAGGGTTCATGCACCAAATGTTCTCTAAAGAGACCTTTACTTGTCCTCAAGCCTTGATGATTGTCTGCTTTAGCTGAAAGTAAAATAACACCCAATGTGTGAAGTTTTATTTACCTCAGATTGTCCTGTGCAGCATTATCAACCTCATGTTGTAATCATAATATTCTCATGCTATTCATTTTTTCAGCAAGAAATTTCAAAGTTTCCAGGACCGTAAACTTAAAGTAAGCAAAGAGGATCACCGGGATCTTAAGAAAGCTAGGAAAGAGGGAACCTTTCATGAAACACTTCTGGACAGGTGAATTCTTCTTTCCAGTGTTTGATGCAATGTGTTTGTCAGATAAAGAAAAGTTGGTTACTTTGTGGGTTTTATATTATATATAATTAGAAAGGTGAAACGTTTTCTTTCTCATCCCTTGAGGTGTACAGGAAGTCTTTATTCATAAGGTTTTACTGCTACCTACACAAGGATTGGACACTGGCAAACATAGAAGACTGCAGGTCAGCCCAGGAAACCTCTCCTACTACCAGTATGCTTCAGATTTTTTTTTTTTCCAGTATCCTAGAAGGATGGACAATTTTTCTAACCTATATTTTATAGCACCATTTTTTTTGTTCTTCAAACCCAACTTTGCTGCTAGAGCTGGACCCATCAATAACCGCTCTCTGGTATAGCTTTTGGATTGCTGTGTCAAGACCTTGCAGGACTGGGCATTGTGGGAATAGCCTTGAAGTGACTTTCAGGTTCTGGATTCCATGCAGGGCATTTTCAAGTATCCATATTCAAAACAAGTTAGCCACAGCCCGCTTTCCAGAGTAAGATCTGCCGGTATTGCCTCAGCGTTTGTCCTTTTCTCCATAGACTCACTCCTTGAGTAGACTGGTCAGGCCAAGCCTCGAGAGCTACCTAATTTATATTGGCTGTTGGGTGCCTTGTAGTAACATGTGGCCTCAACATGTCTGAATCTAGACATGAAGGGAACAGCCCTGCTGCAACAGGTGCTCACACTCTACTAATGGGGCTGCTTGCAGCTCTCCTACTGATGGTGCCGATGTCTGCAGCCCAGAATCATGTTGCCTTCTGCTCCTAGAGTCTATTCTGCCATTGGAGTATTTTAGCTCCATTGAGTGTAGCTAGTTCCTCTGCCCTTTCAGCTGAGGTTTTCACTACAGTTGTGAAGGAAGTCATGGCCTAAATCACCCGCTTATTTTCTGGCTCTGCATGGAAGCCATAGATGTGCCCCATTCAGATTCTGTTTAATCTCCCCATGACCTTAAGCAACTTCTGAGCTATTAGACACAGAGATTCTGAGCTGCTCCAGTTTTTGCCAGATGAGATTATCCTGTCAATTTTTTTATTCTGAATTAAACAGAGACCATTGTGGCTCTTATTGATGTGGTGCACATCACTCTGAAACTAGAGGGTCAGCCTGTTGCTTCTATCAATGCTGTGTCCAGTCTTGGGTCTTTTTTTAAGCCCCTAAAGTTACAAGGATCTTTCTGTTGCACTCACAGTAAAAATTATTTGTTTATAGAGATTGGAAACACACTAACATATTTATGCTGCCCCAAATGCTTATTAGACTTGTATCCATTTGGAAAGGGTTTTGTACAAACGTAGCCTATCCCCAATGTGGGTCTGGCATGTCCTACCTTTTAAAAAGCCACTACCAATCTGGTACAGGATGCACTTTTGTTTAAGTGTCCAACCAATAAGAGGTTGGAGTTACTTTTTAAGAATGCTGTTATTACTAACAGGTCCTGCTCCTCACCCCATCCTGGGTGTGACTACTTTGCTAAACCATGGCTGGCTGGTCAAGATCCCTTAAAAGGATTCCCTCCCTTCTGGAATGCATGGAGCAAATGACTGCAGCTTTAAATCTCAGTTGTATAGCTTGATGGATGCTTCCTGGCTTATGGGGTCTTATGTCAATACACATGCATAGAACACTTTGACTGAATGTCTCTTTGGATCTACTCTCGATACCCTTATCAAGAATGGGAATGGTGGCAAGAACACTCATCTTCCTCAACAGAAAAAGCCTAAGGAACAGACTGCAAAGTCTTCTCCCTCCTTCTTTGTTAGGAAACACCCCTTTCATTTCAACACTTCCATGCTCTTTTTAATTTAAGTTCAGAAATGTTGCATGGAATCCTGCTGACAGGAGATGAGTCGCTGGTTGTTAAAAAGTCGGCACCCATCACTTCCTTAACAACCAGCTGAAATTTCAAACATTCCTTAAATATCGCATGCCTGGACCACTACTAATTTAACACATGCATTTATTTATTTATTTGCCTTAGTGAATTGACTTTAACGCTGTTTTATGCTGTATTTATCACATTTTTGAGGTAATTAGTACATAAAGGGATAGGGAATTGACATTTTCAGTATCGCGTGCGATATTTGGGAAAAATACAGTGCAATATCCTTTCGTGAACTGAGCCCAATGTGAGTTCAACAAACTTACAATAAATATATATTTTTATCCATTACAATTTATGCACTTGATTAAATAGATTAGTATCCCAAGCTGCGATTCCAAGAGGAAATCATATCGAAGACCGTGACCGTTTTAATTTATACTTTTTTTGTACTGTCTAGTGTGGATCCAGATGACTTTTCCTTTAAGTTTTGTCAACTGTACATGAAATAGATGCTGTATTATGTCTCCAAATGTTTCCTTATATATACAGTATCTCCTAATAATTCACTCGTAACTTTAGTTTATGAGCTCCTTCCAAACTGTTAGGATCGGGAATTGAGGAGAAAGCACAAAAAAAAATACATTTGAATCAAAAGGTAGCTTCTTATTTCAACTAAATTAGGACATCGTTATCTCGTCCTGGATCTCGTATCTTGACTTCATAAATTAGATTTTTCCCTCCATTTTTTTGTAGTTCGGGCTTTAAGAGTCTATCAGCCACTTTGAGAAAGCTTGATTTCCTTTTTGTCGTCCCAGATAGTCCCTGTAAGGGTGCACTGGCTTCTCATTCCATCATCTCTCTGTGGCTCAGATTAACCATCATCCAAGTTTATGGTCTCATGGATCTGGTTGCATCCTTTCCTGTCAAGGCACACACTGCTTGATCTGTGAGTGCTGTTTGTGATTTTTCGGCATCAAACAACTGATTCCCAGATATGAAAGGCTGCCACCTGGTCTTCTTTTCCAATATTCTCCCAGTTCTACCCAGTGGATGATGCCAGCTGTGGGCTTAAAGTCCTGCAGGGGGTTGTTTGAGCTGAAGGCAGTCCTGAGTTCTCTTGTTTTTTTTGGGACTGTTAGTGTGAGTAACATTCACAAGTTAAAAGCAGGAAAAAATTCTCCATCCTTAGGAGGACCTTGCTTTCATGCATGGATACTGTAAATCATTTAGTTTGAATGGTGGGAAAAGTCCAGCTCCTGCTGTACTTCCTGACCGCTCTGGCTGTACACTCTGTAGGTTTCATAGTCGTGAGCTTTTAAGGTCACATCTCCACCCCTTCTTCTTTAGGCCATTTACAAAACAGAGCATGGGCCATTTTAGTAAATGTTTTTTGTAAATGTCCTGAAGGAGAGAGGGGCAAAGATGCAACTGTAGCAGTGGGGTCTATGAGACCTGCAACATGTGTATATGAAGTGGCCAGAAAGTACAGCTAGATCTTTAATTCCTTCACCATAAAAACTAAATAATGCGTCTCTTTTAGAAGTTTGCCTGCATGAAAGTGAGGTTTTTCTGAGGCAGAAGAATATTTACTAGTATGATTGTTATGTGCCTGAGGTTGCACTGCAATGCACGACAATGGAAATCACATTATTTTCTAAGGTTCCTGGTCATATTAATGTAACATGGTGCAATTTTTGACGAGATGCATGTGCTACACAGTTCATTTTTTTCCCCAGTAGAATTCAGTGGGAGTACATGAAAAATGCATTTTTTTAGGTACACTTTTTGGCTTTAAATTAAATTTCTTCCTCCTAATAATAACAGTGATGTTACAGCAGATTTTGCTTGTCATTGGCAATACATGAAGCATGAAAACCGCATCATAAATGTGCTACAAAGCACACTGAAAGACATATGAATATGCAGCAGTGTGAACCTAGACTGAAAATTGTGAAGGTACTGCTGTTCAGAGTTGGGCTCTAAAAAACATCTATGTCCCTGAATGGACAAGATAGAAAATAGAATTTATATACTCTCCGTAAAATCCATTGAGGCAGAAACTCCTCTGTGTTTATGATCTGGCTCTCGGGATTTTTTTTCCCCTTGCATTGATTAGTGATCTGTGAATTGATTTGAAAATTAGGTGCACCAGGAATTGTTTTGATTTTCTCTATATAAAGAGAATAATACGATACATAATTCATGATTACCCAGATTCCTCATTGTGTGGTTCTCCACAGACCAGACAACTCTACATGCAGGTATTTAGGAGAATCATAAATTAGCTGATCTTTGATTTCCTCTGGTTCAGTTATCAGTGCTAGTAGGAATGAAATCCATAATGCAGATTGGCTGCACTACTCTTGACATAGAGAGAAGCTACTTCGCAAGGTACCGTATTTTTCGCTCCATAAGACCCACCTGACCATAAGACTCGCCTAGGTTTTAGAGGAGAAAAACAAGAAAAAAAATATTCTGAACCAATGGACTGCGGACACAGTATGGACTGCGGACACAGTACAGGGGATGACCAGAGACTGCGGACACAGTACAGGGGATGACCAGAGACTGCGGACACAGTACAGGGGATGACCAGAGACTGCAGACACAGCACAGGGGATGACCAGAGACTGCGGACACAGCACAGGGGATGACCAGAGACTGCGGACACTGTACAGGAGATGACCAGAGACTGCGGACACAGTACAGGAGATGACCAGAGACTGCGGACACAGTACAGGAGATGACCAGAGACTGCGGACACAGTACAGGAGATGACCAGAGACTGCGGACACAGTACAGGAGATGACCAGAGACTGCGGGACACAGTACAGGGAAAGACCAGAGACTGCGGACACAGTACAGGGAAAGACCAGAGACTGCGGACACAGTACAGGGGATGACCAGAGACTGCGGACACAGTACAGGGGATGGATGACCAGAGACTGCGGACACAGTACAGGGGATGACCAGAGACTGCGGACACAGTACAGCAGATGACCAGACCAAGACTGCGGACATAGTACAGATGACCAGAGACTGCGGACATAGTACAGATGACCAGAGACTGCAGACAGTGCAGGGGATGACCAGAGACTGCAGACCTTTGGGGAGGGAGGGGGAACGGGTACCTGAATTTGACAGGTACCCGCTCCCACTTCCGCTGAGTTGTCCTTCCGTCTTCTTCCCGCGGCGGCTTCTGTGACAGCCGGGTGCCTACTGCGCATGCGCGAGAAGCGCTGCACTCTGTGAATGGCCCGGAGCCTTCTGGGACCTGTCGTGTCATTCACAAAGCTCAGCGCTTCTCGCGCATGCGCAGTAGGCACCCGGCTGTCACAGAAGCCACTACGGGAAGACTGCAGAGCTGGAGCGAGGAACAGGTAAGGTCCTGCAGGAGAGAAGAGCTGAGCGGCTGGCCCGATATTCTGACATGGTGGCGGCAGAAATACCGGACCAGCCGCTTTACATTCGCTCCATAAGACGCACTGATATTTTTCCCCCTTTTTTGGGGGGAAAAAAGTGTGTCTTATGGAGCGAAAAATACGGTACTTAGCAGCTACAGTAGCTTCTGATTTTTATTTCTGCTGACTTTTAAGAAACAGATACCAGCCCATGGAGTCCAGCTCTCTTCTCCAAAGCTAATTCTTCCCAGGGCCTATGGATTCCGACACCCCACTGCGCATGCGTAAGACTTGGAAGTACAGGGAAACTGATCCTGCAGTCCCAGGAGACTGTGGGCTGGAAAGGGAATGCTGGGGGGATGGGCCATACAAACATCTTTCTTGCCTAAGCATAGATAAGTGAAGGAAAGCAAGTTCCACAAAAAAATATACTCCCTCCCACAATAAAAGAAAACTAAAATATATATTATGTAAAATTCTGGACGGGGGGGAGAGGATGGGTATTAGTTTCATTTTTGGGTAAAGGTCTGCTTAAAAGCTCAACTCCTGACAGATTTAAAAGAATATTAATTCAGCTCAATATTGTGTCTGTACCTGAATATGAACTGGTTTCAGTTCCTGTAAAGCAGAGCTCAGACTGGAAGAGCCAGATGCAGCAGGAATAGCCAATCAGTTGTGCTGCAGTGCAAAGATCATTCTTCTTTAACTGTCCTGTCACAGGTTGGAGGAGAGACAAGACCTGTACCTGTTAAATAGCTGTTGCAAAGTCTGCCCTGCTAAACAGTACTGGCAAAGCTGTGCAAATATCAGGACAAAAATACAAATTCTGTGTCAGGCAAAGCACTCCCATTTATGTAATACATACTGTACATGGGAGCTGTAGCCTGCAGTGCTGATGAAGAGGACATTTTCCAGCAGGGCAGTTGTACAGAAGTCGATCAGGCAGTAGATTGACTTCTGTACAACCACAGTGCCCCATGCATGGAACAAAATTTGTCCGATTCCATCTGTTCCATCTATAGGCTGCTTTAGGTAGTCAAGGCTTTTTTGCATGGCTCAGTATTTCATTCTAATGATGTATAACACTCAGGAGTAGAGAGCACATGGATAACACACACTTTTATTATGCAGTCACAGGCTGGGTCATGTCCCGGCACAACTGCATTTTAGCATGCAGGGAAGTCACCGAACTGGCTATGCTGTGTGAGCTTCTGCTATTTTACCAAAATTATCCTTCGTCATTTACTGTCAGTGAAAATGGCAGCTGGTAAGAGCAATACAGATAGTTTATCATTCACAGTTGCAGTATTGCATGAACATAAGCAGAGATTTCTCATACACACATTGTTTTTTAGTTCTGATATGTATGTGGGTCTTATTATTTATATTATTAAATCACAGTAAAACTGCTACAAAACTTTTTTTTTTTTTTTTGGAATTTTACAGGAGATCAAAGCTAAAAGCGGACAGATACTGCAAGTGAAAACCATCACAACAATATTTTGTTCCATTTGTTTTGTTTTGTTTTTTTATGTGTTTTTATCTGATGTGTTAACTGCATTGAAATATTTTATTAAAACCTAATGTTGCAACGAGGATAAAGTATTTGTGGCACAAATCATTAGGGGGTTGAGTGTATCTGCTGTGCTATGCATTCTTCACATACTTGTTCTTTTCTGGAAATGAAAGAAAAGGCCACACCCATTAAAACTGAATAGTACGTTCTATAGATTTGCCATCAACTACATAGTGTACGGACTTAAGCCAGTCATATATGGATCGAAATTTGGCCGGTTCAGCAGGGTATAGGCAGGCTGATTGTACCCAGGTTGATCCATTGATCAACTTGGGTACAACCAGCCCATCAGATTTTTAGCATACGATTACTGCCGGCCGCTATAGCTATTTGCACCAATCATTGTGTTCTGCCAGCCAAGAAGGCTCCCTCCCACCACCGCTGCCATATTTACCAGGCTCTCCTGAGCGACCGGGGAACCCAGTAAGGATGTGACCGGCAGCGGCATCAGCTTCCCTGCACACAGTAAGAGGAACTGATGTTGTTCCTCCCACTGTGTGATGTCAGAAATCGTAATCACAGTTTCGGTTTGTTTACAAGCTGTTGCCTCATCCCTTGTGATAGCAATAAAACTGATTTTAAAAAAAAAATTTTGGTACAAGGTAGAAATAATAAAATTTAAAAATGTAAAGCACCCCTGCCCCCCTCCCCTCCTTCCCCCCCCCCCCCCCCCCCCATACTCACAAGCGAAGGCAAACGTTGGTCCCACACGCATATGTAAATGGGAATCACTCCACACGTGAGGTTTCACCGCGAACATCAGAGTGAGAGCAATAATTCTAGGGCCAGACCTCCTGTGTAACTTTTAAACCGATCGCATCTAAAGGATTTTAAAAAGTCGCCTATGGATAATATAATGTACCATAGTTTGTCACCATTCCACAGACATGCGCAATTTTAAAGTGTGACCTGCTTCTTTTTACTCTGGTAACAACATCCTTTATATTTTACCAAAAAACGATATTGCAATGCATTCATTAAAATTCATTAAAGTGTATTTTTTCCAAAAATTTGCTATTGAAAAACCGCTGAGCAAATAATGTATGATATAAAAAATTGCAACACCCACTGTTTTATACTCTAGGGCCTCTGCTTAAAAAGACATGTAATGTTAGGGGGTAATGTTCTAGCACAAAAATGCAGATAACTCTCTTTGTATTGCATTCTTATAATTAGCCAAAAATCCCTTTTTAGAGAGACCATTACATGTGATCACAAGATATTTCCCATTTACTTCTCATCACACAGCAAGAACAGTGGGGCTAAAAGGCCACCTGTGATGCCGGTCCAGTCATGTGATCCTGTAGCTCCAGCTTCCCTGTATCAGTGAGCGGCTGCTGCTGGGTAGAGGAGGGAACACCAACAATGGCTGGGCCATGGGAACATAAGAGTGACGTAAAGGCTCCCAAACTTCACAGCCATTGGAGCCAAAGCTGCAGGATCATGTGAATGGACCAGTTTAAAACCCAGTAAGTAAACAGATCTTTTTTACACAAGGAATGCAGGATAGGTAGAAGGAGGGTGGAGGAAACCTTTTTAAGAATAGTTAGTTTTAGGTTTGTCTTCCACGTTAAGCTCTAACTAGAAGGGGGAAAAGCTTTAATGACCAAAAACAGTTGCAGTATAAGGATGAGCCAGGAAAAGAGACATAATACAGACAAAAAGAAAAGCTATTAAGCTGGCCATACAAGGTTAGATTTTCATGTGGACATTCATATAAAAATCATTGCCATCGTTGAGTCAACTAGATTTGTTTGAAAGCCCTTACGATTTAATCCAGACTCACTGCTTGAATAGAATCCCAGACATATTAAACAGGTTTCATTTCAACATGTATGATTTTTCACAAATGAAAACCGAAGTTAGAAATTAATTTATTCGAGAAGTACTGTTCCAAAAACATTTTGTAACAAAGCTTCACAGGTGTATGGTGAGCTTAGAAAATGCTGTGTTTTTACTGCAGAGCCACAGTTGGAATATTTATTTTCTGACTTTTATTTCCAGTGTGGCTTTTAATCTGGTTACTGCGGGGCACCTCCATAGGACTCTTTACTTAACCACTTGTCCTCCAGAGGATTTACCCCCCCCTTCCTGACCGTCTTTTTTACAATACGGCGCTGCGTTATTTTGACTGACAATTGCATGGTCATGCAACGCTGTACATAAATGAAATTTATTTTCCCCCACAAATGGAGCTTTCTTTCAGTGGTATTTGATCACCTCTGTGTTTTTTGCGCTATGAAAAAAAAAGACTGACAATTTTGAAAAACAAAACAATATTTTTGACTTTTTGCTATAAAACATATTGAATTAAAAAAAATCAAATTTCTTTATAAATTTAGGCCAAAAGGTATTCTGCTACATGTCTTTGCTAAACAAAAAAAATACTAATACGTGTAAAAAAAAAAATTTTTTTAATACCAGTAATGGCGGCGATCAGTGACTTATAGAGGGACTGCGACGGGCATTCTGACACTGGGTGAGAAAGAACTGCCACTGACATCCCCAGTGACACTAATACAGTGATCAGTGCTAATAAAAAGCACTGACACTGTACTAATGACACTGGGCAGGAGGGGGTTAACATTTGGGGCACTCAAAGGGTTAACTGTGTGCTGCCTGTGTTTTGCTGTGTTTTACTAGGGAGACATGCAGTTTTGCATCTCTCTTTGCTGTGCAGAGAGATACAAAACAGCATGTCCATGCTGATAGGAGAGAGACCCGCTTTCCCCCATGATCACCGGCCGGGACACAGTTATTGACATCTGTAGCCGACAATAGCAGCACACACGTGCCCCCTACCTGGAATGCAAATCGTGTATATATCCGTGATTTTGCACAGCCCTGTAGCAGTACTTTTGCTATAGCGCGGAGAGCAAGCGGTTAAGGGATAAGTTCACCTTTTTTGTAACATGTTACAAATGTATCAGCCACCTCTTTTGTTACATTACAAGAAGCAAAAGAAGAAACACACTAATACAACATCAGCAGAATTCCTATCAGTTATTGGAGAAATGAGGAAGAAACCTCCATGAGAAAGAGGGGAAAAAAAGAAATCAACATGACAGGGTTTCTCAGCTCACTTGAAGCTTGATCTCATGCAAGCAGCACAGTGATATCTGAATACTCAAGCTGCACTGCCCAGTCATCTAGAACATCATACAATACTCAGCCATACAATCCCCATCCCACATACATGCAGATTCTGCAATTACTGTCGAAAGAAATGACACAAAGCCAATACAGCACACTGGCAGGTCCAACTATTTATGCCACATATTCTACAAACATAACTCCAGTCTCAGGGTAAGGTGAAGGGGACTTTATAGCCCAAGGTACACCTTCCACTCTGTTCACCTCAGCTATGGAACCCTTCTACCGTGGGTTATGAGGTAGTTTCTACCTGTGTTAACATGTTATGTCTGTTGTAATTTCCACCCAATCATTGTGGGTTCACATGTTTGTTGAGGAATCGGTTGAGTCTTCTTACGTTTTGCACATTAAACCATGTTCTTCTTGAGCTATTTTTGCACTCGGGACAGTCATGCAAGAAAAAAAGGCAATCCAATACTTGAGAGAAGGCATATTAACATTAAAAATGTCTTTGCATGCAATATCCTCCACTTAAAACACCAAGTCCAACAAGTGCATACCACCTCCTGAACATATTATTTTATTCATCGCCATTAACATAGCTATCATTATGCTTCTTGCACTCCGCTGGACCTTCTGGTCTCAACTACTACTACTACTACTGGAGTCAGCTACAAGATTCTGCTGAATGCTGAGACCATTACTAAAACCAATAACAATCGAATGCAGAAGCAATTATTTTATACAACAAAGAGTAGATACATTGCTTACAGATACAAGCGGTCCTTTTGAGAGCTACAATAACGCTGATGCGGCCTGTGATGAAATTGAGTTTGAAACCTCTGGTCTAGCAGTTTTACTTCCTGATCCTTGGCTACCATGGGCTCCTCCATGCTGCTATATCTGACATAAAAGAATTATGAGTTAACCCTTGCAATACGAGAACAGTAACATACACAAGGGACTAATTTCCTATTTCTTGGATTTCGTCTTTACCACTTGACAACCAGCGACGTACCCGTGCATTGTTGTATACCTCACTAAAGGGTATTTTAATTACTATGCATTATTTGCCATTTGCTTTACAAGTGAAAGCGGTATATTGAAAGTGAAATATTTTGTTTACGAAAGTAAATTCACAAACATTATTAGGTTTTTTTAATCACTTTCTGGGGACAATTTTGACATTTCTCACATACATGTTAAAATCAGCATTTTTTGCTAGAAAAATACAACTCCCAATCGTTCTATATTTTCTGAAAGCAGGGGCCTTGAAAATGGTGGTTGTTGCAATTTTTTATGTCACACAAAATTTGCGCAGCAATTCTTCAGCAAAGAATACACTTACAAAAATGTTAGTATACACAAATACAAAATAAAAGGTGTCTGTCAAGTAAATAGATACCTAATATGTCAAGATTTAAAATTATGCACACCTGTGAAATGGCAACAAACTCTGATACCTATAATTATTTATAAGTGATCCTTTAGAAGCCTTTACAGATTATCAGTTTAGAGTTAAACATAAGCTCTGATGCTAGAATAATTGCTCTCACTCACATGTGTAGTGCTTTACATTTTTTTGTTTTTTGCTTTTTTATTTACATTTTTTTTTTCTTTCATTCAACTTTTATTGCCTTCATCACTCCCTGTGATAGCTTAGAGGTCCTTTTTTGGCAAGACTGTGGTCTGTTAAACCCTTGATCCTTCCTCTGCCCTCCAGGGCAGCCTGTTAAACAGGGATCTGGGGAAGGTCTTCCTGCTCTGGATTGTGCTTATCTGTACCCCAGTAAAGAGAATATAGAGGAGAATAAGACAAAATGAGAGGAATGAATACAGTTAATGTAAAAGGATTGAACACTCCAACAAATAGGCAAAAGGTATTAAGAGAAATACATCAAAGCTCTATTGAAGTGGTGTTTCTTCAGGAGACGCTTATATCCCAAGATTCAAATGTTAAATTATACTCTAAATATCTGCCAATCTGGTATTATGCAGATTCTCCCATAAAACAGGCAAAGGGAGTGGTGATAGGATTTGGGAAAAATATAAAATTCATGTTGGAGGAAAGTTTAGTAGATCCAGATGGCTGAAACCTGCAGGGAAGGGAGTGTACCTTAGCAAATATTTACTGCACTAATAAAAATATGATGGTATATATGGAAGGCATATTGAGAAAACTTACAGACTTTAACCGCCTCCCACCTGCCATATAGTGTAATGACGGGCGCAAGGCGGTTCTCTCGTTCTGGGAGGATGTCATATGACGTCGTCCCATTCTAACTGCGCATGCGCGGATCTGGGAGCGTGCAGCATGGCAATCGGCAGTGCGCTGTGTCCCTCGGACACAGCGGATCACCGATCAACGGAAAGAGCCGAAGATGTCGGCTCGGTCATGTGATCAACTGTGTCCAATCACAGCTGATCACATGTAAATAGGGAAATGCCGGTTATCTGCATTTCTCTCCTCACGAGCTGTCACGCTGACAGCTCGAGAGGAGAGCAGAGCTGGTAATCGGCATTCCTTGGGATATATGCAATGATGATCTGTGTAGCCCCAGCAGTGCCACCTATCAGTGCCAGCTGTCAGTGCTCATCCATGCCACCTGCCAGTTCCCATCAGTGCCTACCAGTGCACATCAATGCCACATATCAGTGCCCATCTGAGCTGCCTTTCAGTGTCACCCATCAGTGCCAGACAGCGGCACCTATGAATGCCAGTCAGTGACGCCTATCAGTGTGCATCAGTGCCCGTCAGTACTGCCTGTCAGTGCCACCTATCAGTGCTGCCTTTCAGTGTCCATCAGTGATGCCTGTCAATGCCCATCAGTGCCACCTATCAGTATCCATCAGTGTAGCCTATCAGTGCCCATCACTGCAGCCTCATTAGCACACATCAGTGAAGGAGAAAAATCACTTATTTACAAAATTCTATAACAAAAACTAAGAAAAAACATTTGTTTTGTTTTTTTTCAAAATTTTCAGTGGTTTTTGGTTTGTTTAAGAAAAAATAAAAAACCCAGAGGTGATTAAATACCAGCAAAATAAAGCTCTATCTGTCACAAAAAAATGATAAAAATGTCATATGGGTACAGTGTTGCATGACCGCGCAATTGTCATTCAAAATGTGACAGCACTGAAAGCTGAAAATTGGCCTGGGCACGAAGGGGGTATAAGTGCCCTGTAGGCAAGTGGTTAAAAGGGGTAGTTTGATTGTGGCAGGAGATTTAATTTTTTGCATGGACTCGGAAATGGATGCTTCATCATGTGCACGGAGAGGAGATAAGTCTCAAGAATGTAAAAAAAAAGTTGCATCAATGCCAGTTAATGGATGCTTGGAGAGTCAAGCATCCAAAAGAAAGAGACTATACCTTCTTCTTTGAGGTGCATAGAACGTATTCACGATTGGATTACATGTTGATTGAACTCTTGGAGTCTCTAGTGAAAATCAATATACTGTAGAAGTAATATCTATATCAGACCATGCCCCTGTCACAATGAGACTACGGTTCAGAAGGGAACAGAACAAAATGAATATGTGGCGATTAAATTAGACGATTCTACAAGACCCAGAAACGGAAACGAGTAAATAGGAAACTGAACAATATTTTAAGTTTAACGAGCCTGGAGAGGTTACAATCACCACAGTGTGGGAAGCACACAAGGCCTATATTAGGGGTATACTGACTGCGATAGAGGCAGAGAAAAAGAAAGAACAGGGTAAAAAAAATTAGATCAATAACGGCAGAACTATTTCAGTTGGAACAATTGCATTAAAAGAAAATAGACACAGAAATACAACAGGAGATACACATTAAAAAGAGAAGAATTAAAGGATCTAATGGAACAAGAAACAAGGAAGTTTTTCAATAAGGTTTGGAAGGAAAGATATCAGTGGGGGAATAAATCTGGGAAATATTTAATGAGGAAACCGAAAGAAAAGAAATCGAGGAATTATATTGAAAAAATGAAAGGTGAAAAAGGAGAAACGGTTTATTCAACCACTGATATCGCTAATACATTCCAGAGATACTATAGTGGTTTATATAGAATAAAATCTAAGAACCAGAAAGAATCAGAGGAAGAGATAAAGGGAAAAAGGCAAATATATTTGAACTAGGCTGGCCTACCCAGATTGGATGAAGTTAGATTAACAGCGTTAGCTTAATTTCACAAGAAGTTAGGCTAGCATTGAAGAGTACAGCCGCAGGTAAAAGCCCCGGCCCCAATGGATTTACTGTGGGATATTATAAGAAGTTCAAAGGATAACTAGTCCCTAAACTGTGTACATATATAAACCCATTAGGAAAAGAGACAGAGATGAGAGAGGAGTCGTAACAGGCATATATCACAGTTATACCTAAGGAGGGGAAAGATTGCTCTCAGTGTACCAGTTACAGACCTATATCTTTGCTGAATACCGATACAAAACTTTATGTGAGGGTATTAGCAATAAGGATGAAGCAGCTGATGCCCGATTGTATACATCTAGAGGTATAGAAGGAAGGGACAACAGTCTAATATCATTGCTTATCCTGTAAAAGAATGGAAGAGGAGAGGTGCCAGGGGTCATCTTATCGATCCATGCCAAACAGGCTTTTGACAGAGTGGATTGGGGATTTATGATCGACACGTTGAAGATGTTAGGAATTGGGCCCAGAATGATTTGGTGGATAAAAGAGCTATATGGGAACCCATCAGCTACAGTGAAGGTCAATGGATCACTATCAAAGTTTTTTTGGATGTATAATGGAACAAGACAGGGATGCCCACTCTCTCCCGTTTGTGATCTCTCTGGAACCACTATTGGCAACAGTGAAGAAAACAGTGTAGATGTCAAAGGAATGTGGGTAGGGGAGGTCAAGCATAAGGTGTCAGCATATGCAGATGATATGCTATTTTATATCACGAACCCTAGACTAATATTACTAAATTTAATGAGAATATTAAAAGATTACGGAGAGTTAGCAAACTTGAAAACTTACCCCTCAAAATCGAGATTTTAAATATTAATGTCTCAAAGGTTGAGAAACATACTTTACAAAAAGAATTCCCATTCACATGGAGGGAAAAAGAATAAAAGTATTTGGGAATAAAATTAACTTCACCATAAAAAATTAATATCAGGTTAATTATATCCCACTAATAAATGAGATAAAAGATGAATTGAGGAGAATTTCAATGGGAACGTTGTCCTGGATAGGCTGAATAAATATTATAAAGATGGTTATAGTACCAAAAGACTTGTACACATTTAATATGCTTCCAATACACCTACCGGGGTCCTTTTTTATGGTTCTTACTCAGATATATTTGGGCTAATAAAAAACCAAGAGTGAAATATGACATTTTATATAGTACTAAAAGAAAAGGGGGACTAAATATGCCGGATTTCAACAGATACTATAATTCAGTGTTAATATCACAAATTGCAGATTGCATATATAATTCAGAGAGAGGTTGGGTTAAAAATGGAGAGCACACTTAGTAAGGCACCATTAGATAGGATTATTTGGATACCACACAAGTTCCGCACATTGGACGAAGATACAAACACTTTGAAACAGAATGTGCTGAGGATTTGTGATGAAACGCACAAACAAAAGGACTGGAAGTTTAACTCATTGTCAATCCCGCTGGTGGGAACGAAGCTTTTCCCACCCGGGAATGATGATATTTCAGGTAAATGGATAAAGGATAGAAATGCATGTTTAAAACATATTGTCGTTAAAGGCAGTATTATGTTCTTTACACTAATAAGAAGGAAATATTTTCTTCACTGGATGAATGGCGGTATTATCAAATTAGACATTTTGTTGCAATGCCACTAAGAACAGTGGGAGATATGTACCCTTTAGAGCAATTGTTTAGCTCAAATGTAATACAAAAACATGCTATCTCTAGGATTTATAACATTTTTACTGAGATATACTGTAGATGGACTGGTATCCCAAGTGTTTCTGGATAAATAGGAGAAGGAGCTTGGAACAAAATTGTAAGAGCAACAAAAGAATAAAATGTTTAGATTAACACATGGGGCGGTGAATATGAATATAGTTGAAATTAATTATAAATGTCTTGTAAAATGGTATATTACACCTAATGTGGCACATAAACAAAGACCAGAGGTTTCACCTCTGTGTTGGAGAGGATGTGGGAGCAAGGGAACAATGGCACACATATGGTGGGATTGTCCTAAAATATTGGAGTACTAGGGATTGATAATTCAATACATACAAGAGATCCTAAACATTAGTGTACTGTTAGACCTGTGGGTCTGTTTATTCCACAAATCAGAGGCTTCGGTGAAACAATACAAAAATATGATATTGTTCCATTTATTAAGTCTCATTCCTAAAGCCTGGCAAACAATAGAGCTCCCAAAAATAAAAGATTGGATAAATAGAGTCGATTATATATATGTGATGATGGAGAACTATACCACATAAATGAGGATAAAAAATTAAAATTTAAAAAAAAAAATCCTGGAAGGATGGTTTAATTTTAAAAAATCAAAAAGATACTTAGAAGTGGTTGGAGTGTAATGAAATAAGTAACTAAACAGCAGAGTATGGGAAAGATAAGAGAAGGAAAAGGATAAGAGGGGAAAAAAAGTCAGGTAGAACAAAATCAGAAGAATAAGAAGTATATGAAAGGGTTAAGAAGGGAGGCGGATGGGTAAGGGGGGAAGGGGGCTAAACAGGAGGGAAGGGGAATGTTAAGTAAAAATGGCAGTTTGTGCTTTATGATGTTTGATATAATGTGAATTTTTGCATTATAAAAACTAATAAAGATATAATAAAAAATAGATAGTATTCAGCACAATTCCAGTACAGTGGTTAAGTGGTTAGTACTTCTGTTTAGCAGTACAAGGGTCATCAGTTTGAATCCCAACCACAACACCACCTGCCTGGAGTCTGCATGTTCTCCCTGTGCCTGCGTGCATTCCCTCCAGGGACTCTGGTTTCCTCCTACACTCCAAAGACATGCTGGTATGTTAGATGGCCCTAGTATGTGTATGTATGAATGTTAGGGACCTTAGATTGTACACTTCTTGAGGGCGGGGACTGATGTGAAGGTATGATAAATCTGTAGAGCACAGTGCGTAAATTGTAATAAATAAATTCCAGTACTGCTGCTCCAAAAGACGCACAGCTGTCACACAGGCAGCTGACCGTTATACTATCTGTTCTCTCACTGCAGTTCAGTATCAATCTGAACCCACTGCTATTGAATAAACTCTGATGAAGGGGGAGTTTGGAGCCCCCAAATGCATTAGCTTACTACTTTTGCACCAAGTTAAATAAAACCCCTTACTGGACTTATCTAAATGTGACGTTCTTATCCTTCCAATGCTCTACAAATTTTGTCTGTCTTGGGTATACAGGACCGTGGATAAGGGGGTACCACCAGTCCTCCTGTATGGGGCCCAGGCTAGCAGGGGGGGCCCAGACAGCTGGGTGAATTGGATGTGGGCAGGGAGGGTGATCAGCACAATGGGGGGGGGGGGGGGCAATTACTGGAACCAATCCCCTGAATAGCTTTCTGCCGCAGCTAAAAGCTGGCTTCCTTTCCTCTTCCTCCCGCTGGATGTCAGCTGCTGCAGAGAGAGGGATTGTTTCCAGTAATTTCCCCCCCACCACACCCATCACCCTCCCTGTACATCATACATTCCCCCCTGCTGCAAGGCTCCCCTGTGTGCCCCCACCCCCACAGTGATACCGGCTTCCCCCCTCTCCTTCCCACCAGCAGTTGCAAGCACACAATAGGATCCTTCATTAAGGAAACTGGAGGAAGGGTCCAGTAAACATTTATTTGCAAGCCCTTCTTTCCTGAATGAACACAACGAGTGATCGGTAGCAATCACTTATTGTGTTCATAACTGAAGCATTGCAAACCTTGTTTTCTTTGGGGCCCTGTCAGGTTGGCTGTATGGGGCCCCATGGTTTCTAAAACAGCAGCCCTGAGGGTATAATGCATCATGGATAATAAAGACACTCCTAAAAGTTATAAGCTGTCATGAGCACATATTGTCTAATACATGTGTATTCTTCCTTGAATCTTGTGTGCTTTGTGTGTTTCTTTTGGATTTTTGCAGAACTCCAGCATGAAAGGTTGTGACTTTGTTCAGAAGCTTCCTGTAATAAAGACCAGTCATGGCTGCTCTCTCTCCTGGTGCAGGGTGTCTGGTCTTGTCCCTGCCCCTCCTGTAGGAATCCTATAGTGGGTTTGGCCTACTAGGCCCCTCCCACAGCTCTACTCTCTGCACAGGGCATGTAGAGCACAGTGATGATGTCACTGATACTTTTACAAGGCAATAACTTGGTTTGAAAATGCATCTGATACACACAAATTGGATTCATATCCTTTGTGGCAACAGGAATATATTTTGCTGAAAGTTTTAAGCCTGTGTGTATTATTTACATACTCTCCACACTACAGCATAGTTCCTGACTACTACTTGTATCAGGTCCCCTGACACCCTGGTGGTGTAGTCGGTGACACACATTCCTCTGACACACAATGACTCCCTCCTCCGTCTTCTCAGTTCATTCCCCTTCTGCCCACATTGTCTTCCTGTGTGTACAGCGTGACTACTGTCCTGTGACTGGGAGATCCCATTGCAGGGGGGGGGGGGGGGACAGCCGCACACTGAGCACTGTACAGAGCCGGGCCGCCCTGAGCCTCCTCCGGCGGTGTGCAGTGGTACGCTCCAGGACCTGTCATGTGACAGAGGTGTCAGTGTTTGGGCACTCCTGGACCGGGAAGAGAAGATGATGGTATCGGCGTTAGTGTTTGCGGTCCTGGCCGTGTGCGGCCCGGTGCTGGCTCAGGATGTCCCTCCGGTGAGTGAGAGCTGTGTGTCGGTATAGGAGGGGGATACAACTAGCAGGTGCCAGAGCTGATCCAACACTAGTGCGGGTGTAGCACCACCGGGAACTCAGATTTCCCCATGATACACAGACAGATCAACTGATTCACCCCTCATTGTACACACTGAGAACCCCCCTGATCGTACACGGGTCTGTCACTGAGATCCCCCCTGATCGTACACGGGTCTGTCACTGAGATCCCCCCGGATCGTACACGGGTCTGTCACTGAGATGGATCGTACACGGGTTGTCACTGGATCCCCCCGGATCGTACACCTGTCACTGATCCCCCCGGATCGTACACGGGTCTGTCACTGGTCCCCCCGGATCGTACACGGGTCTGTCACTGAGATCCCCCCGGATCGTACACGGGTCTGTCACTGAGATCCCCCCGGATCGTACACGGGTCTGTCACTGAGATCCCCCCGGATCGTACACGGGTCTGTCACTGAGATCCCCCCGGATCGTACACGGGTCTGTCACTGAGATCCCCCCTGATCTTACACGGGTCTGTCACTGAGAACCCCCCGGATCGTACACAGGTCTGTCACTGAGACCCCCCCGATCGTACACAGGTCTGTCACTGAGACCCCCCCGGGATCGTACACAGGTCTGTCACTGAGACCCCCCCGGATCGTACACAGGTCTGTCACTGAGACCCCCCCGATCCACAGGTCTGTCACTGAGACCCCCCCGGATCGTACACAGGTCTGTCACTGAGACCCCCCCGGATCGTACACAGGTCTGTCACTGAGATCCCCCCGGATCGTACACAGGTCTGTCACTGAGATCCCCCCGGATCGTACACAGGTCTGTCACTGAGACCCCCCGGATCGTACACAGGTCTGTCACTGAGATCCACAGGTCTGTCACTGAGACCCCCCCCGGATCGTACACAGGTCTGTCACTGAGACCCCCCCGGATCGTACACAGGTCTGTCACTGAGACCCCCCCCGGATCGTACACAGGTCTGTCACTGAGACCCCCCCCGGATCGTACACAGGTCTGTCACTGAGACCCCCCCCCGGATCGTACACAGGTCTGTCACTGGGGCCCCCCCCCGGATCGTACACAGGTCTGTCACTGGGGCCCCCCCGGATCGTACACAGGTCTGTCACTGGGGCCCCCCCCGGATCGTACACAGGTCTGTCACTGGGGCCCCCCCGGATCGTACACAGGTCTGTCACTGGGGCCCCCCCGGATCGTACACAGGTCTGTCACTGAGACCCCCCCGGATCGTACACAGGTCTGTCACTGAGACCCCCCTGATCGTACACAGGTCTGTCACTGAGAGAACCCCCCCTGATCGTACACAGGTCTGTCACTGAGACCCCCCTGATCGTACACAGGTCTGTCACTGAGACCCCCCCCTGATCGTACACAGGTCTGTCACTGAGACCCCCCCCCTGATCGTACACAGGTCTGTCACTGAGACCCCCCCTGATCGTACACAGGTCTGTCACTGAGACCCCCCCCCGGATCGTACACAGGTCTGTCACTGAGACCCCCCCCGATCGTACACAGGTCTGTCACTGAGACCCCCCCCGGATCGTACACAGGTCTGTCACTGAGACCCCCCCCTGATCGTACACAGGTCTGTCACTGAGATCCCCCCTGATCGTACACAGGTCTATCACTGAGATCCCCCCAAAAATGCAGTTGCTGGGTTTTTTTTTTTTTTCACTATAGCTTAGAGAATCAGCTGTCACTTTCCCTGAGCTAAAATAAACAAAGTTTCTTTTTAGTTTCTTTCCCGAGTTAAAAGAAACAAAGTTTCATTCATTCTCTCTGAGCTATGATGAAGAAAACAAAAGATCGGCAATTGCATTTAAAAACCGGCACTGACATATAATGACAGCCAGTGAGGGAGCCTCTCTGTATACACTGCTACCTCACTGTATACACTGCTGCTGGATAAACGTAGAAAAAAATTGGAGCCTCCCCACCCCCACATACACAGACATTTCAGTTTCCATTCGGTTTTCGGCCACATGCATTCTGAATTTTCTGTATCGGTTTCGGCACCAGAATTTTCATTTCGGTGCACCACTAACTGCAATCAGTTAAAATGGTGAAAAATTTACTCTACCTTTCTGTTGTGTGTCTCTGTGTGCCACATGGAGCATAGAGAAGAGAAAGAGCAGCAAAGAATTGTGGATTTGAGAACAATAATTGTAAAAAAGCATGGACAATCTTAAAGTTACAAGTCTCTATATCTCCAGAGATCTTAATGTTCCTGTATCCACTGTACGCAACATTGTCATCAAGTTTACAGCCCAAGGCACTGTTAACTAATCTCCTTGGATGTTTGTTTCCAAAAAATATATATTTATTTTTAAAAACTGCATTTTGGTTTCGGTTTACGGCATTTTGAATTTTTGGTTTCAGTTTCGGCACCAGAATTTTCATTTCGGTGCACCACTACTTTTTTTTTTTTTTTTCTTTGGGTAGAGAGAGAGAGTTAAAATCTTTTCTCAAGAATGCAATGGCTTGTATTTATGAAAACAATTTGTAGAGCTATTCGCCTTCTGAAACTGCATGTGCATTTGTTCTGTGCGTATGGGAGCAAAATCGAGTGCTATTACGCTATTTTCTCTCCAGGTCGAATGGTATTAATAAAAATAGAATGAAAATAAAGAATAAAATACAGTATTCTGGCCACTAGATGGAGTTGATGATTATATGAGTTTTCTAAAATCATCAGCTCCATCTAGTGGTCATAATGTGATATTTTCCTGGTTGACTCTCCTGTGTGAAGAGCAACATTTGACCTGGAAAGAAAATAGCCCAATAACATTCATATTTGCACAGAACAAATGTAGATGCAGTTACATATGATGAATACCTCCCGGAGAATTTCTTTTTTAGAAATATAACGCAAAGTACACCCCAATTTTGTAAAGAAGCGTCAGAACCACTGTCAGGTCTTTAAAGCAGACCTACCTGGAAGAGTGGAAGATCTGCTTTTATATGCTTTTCATATAGAACAGAGTTTTGTTTCTTACTAGGACACTAATGATCAGGGGTGGACTGACAACTCATGGGGCCCCCGGGCAATAAGGGATCATGGGGCCCCTGTGTCCTTGCCCAAACTCAAAAAAGACTATGAAAAAGGTACCAGGGGCATCTCATGGGGCCCCCTACTGACCCCGGGCCCTCGGGCAGTGCCCAAGTTTCCAAATGATCAGTCCGCCCCTGCTAATGATATTGTATTTGCTTTGTTTTAGTATACAGAAGACTGCAGAAGTGGAACTTACCCCCCCTCTGGACCTACGTAAGTTACAAAGCATTTTCCAGAAAGTTTGTTCTTCTAGTTCAGGGGTAGGCAACCCTCGGCACTAATTCCAGAGATGGCACATCATCAAGGATGGCACCATCCTGAGTCCTGGGGGGACCCACCTCTCAAACAATAAAGCTGGCCAGCAGCTGCATACAGAAGAAGCAGTGTGGCTGGCGTCTGCCCACCTATATGACCCGCTGGTGTCAGTTCTTGCATTGCTCTCTCCCACACTGAAGCTGTGTCGGGTTGGATTCCCCAGGCTGCTTGTTCTCACTTTGGAAGGGTACATGTGTTCAGTATGTTTCCCCCTCTGTGGTACAGCACTCTTTTAGCCTGAGCCAGCTCATGGCCAGGCTTTTACCATTGATGTACCTGCCCTCCTTCTGAATATTTATCATCCTCAGAATTCATGTGCCTGGCTCAGCTTGGAGGGGATATAGCCAGAGAGGTTTATCTTCAAATGGCTTTTAACCCCTTCCACAGCAATCTTTTATGAGTAACTCAATGTAAAGAAGGATTTAATGGGGAGGGAGCGGGTTGCCGTTCATAAACGGCGCCCACATTTACTGCCTGTGCGTGCTTCTGGGAGCGTGCGCAGCACCACGATTTGGTGCCCGCTGTGTCCAGAGGACCTCTGTGTGAGATCCTGATCATGTGATCACTGACTGGCCAATCAGTGATCACATGAATAGTAGTAAGCAAGATGTCACTTCCTAACATCATTGCTTACTACTTGTGAAATATGTGAATGATCACAGAGGTCGCATGGTAGAAGGCTTTCACAACAGCCTTGTACCATGTGACAAGTTGTGACTAATCACATAATCACAGCTCTCACAGTATTTTTCAATGGCTGCAAGAATGCATCCAGAGAGGAGAAATGATTGCTTTTACAGCCTTTATAGGTTTGAAAGCAATCAGTGTTAAAAAAAAAAAAATCTTCATCACCCCCCACAAGTAGTACAGTGTCACTATGGTGACACTGTACTGCTAGGGTGACAGTAGGTTTAAAAAAAAAAAAAAAAAACCATAAATAAAATAAAAATGTAAAAAAAAAAAGATTTATAAAAACATTTTAATTTTTGGTTATAAACTAATTTGGGTTATTTTTTTTTTTTTTTTTTTTACTAAAAAGGATAGCTGAATACATTTTGGCCAAGATTTATGAAGAAAGATTATATATTTGCTAAATTTTATAAGAAAAACACTTTTTTCAAAATGTTTGGACATTTTCATTTATATATAGCAAGAAAAAATAAAAATCCCAGTGGTGAATAAATACCACCAAAATAAAGTTTTATCTGTCTGAAAAAAAAAATGCTAAAAAATTCATATGGGTACAGTGTTGCATGACCGCGCAATTGTCATTCAGAGTGTGATAGCACTGAAAGCTGAAAATTGGCCTGGACAGGAAGGGGGTGCAAGTGTCCGGACTGGAAGTGGTTAAAGGCTTTTCTGACACTAATTTAGACTACATTCGCATGGACATTTAGCCAGGATGCAAATTTTAGCGACAGGAATCTGCTGATTCCTGCTGCTGTTTTTGACACCAGTGAGCAGTTAGTTGCAGCCGCCAAACCACAGTCAGTGATTACCTGCGGTGATGGCTGCTGTAATCGCCGGTTGTGTGGACAGCCACAAATGGCTATGGCTGCCGGCAACTTGTCATAGAAGTTCAGTGTACAGGCTCAGTGGCTGCAGCTAGCAGTCTCGGGTGTCAAAAACAGCAGCAGGAATCAGCAGATTCCTGCTGCTGCCATTCATCGTGGCGTCCAAATAGAAGGAACTACTACTTTAAAACAAGGTTTGGTAACTACTACTTTAAAACTTCTATTGGGAACTACAACTTCAGAACAGATATTGGTAACTACCACCTTTAGAAAAAGGAATTCGGAACTGCAGGAGTTGGGACTCAATTCTCTAATTGTACTGCATGCGGAAATGGTCCATTTTTGCCAGAGGGTCTGGGATTTGGGGCTGATTTGAGGCCTGAAGGAGCAGAAATTGGGGCTGATCTGGGATGTGAACGTGCAGGAAATAGGTGCTCAGAGGTGTGAAGGTGCAGGAATTGAGATGATCTGAAGTGTGAAGGTGCAGTGATTGGGGTGATAGGAGGTGTAAGGTAGCAGGAATTGGAGATGATCAGACGTGTAAAGGCGCAGGTATTTGGGTGATTTGAGGTGGGGAAATGGGACTGATATGAGGCCTGAAGGAACAGGAATTGGGGCTGATGGGGTTATAAAACGCAGGAATTGGGGTGAACTGAAGTCTGAAGGTGCAGAAAAATTAGGACTGACCTGAGGTGTGACCGTTCAGTATTTGGGCTAATCTGAGGTGTGAAAGTACAGAAATTTGGGTTGATTTTGCTTGGAGGTGCAGGAATTTGGGCTGATCTGAGGCTTGGAGGTGCAGGAATTTGGGCTGATCTGAGGCTTGGAGGTGAAGGAATTTGGGCTGATCTGAGGCGTGGAGGTGCAGAATTTGGGCTGATCTGAGGCTTGGAGGTGCAGGAATTTGGGCTGATCTGAGGCTTGGAGGTGCAGAAATTGTAATCAGAGTTCTTGAGGTTCAGGAACTGGCTCTTATCTAATGCCTGAAGGAGCAGGAATTGGGGCTGATCAGAGGCCTGAAGACACAGGAACTGTCACTGGAGAATGAGGTGTGAATTTGCAGAAATTGGGGTGAGCAGGAATGTGAAGGTGTAGAAATTCGGGCTGATCTGAGGTGCCAAGGTGCATGATTTGGGGTGAGCTGAAGTATGAAGTTGCAGGAATTGGGGTGATATGGGCTGTAAGGGTGAAAAAATTGGAGATGATCAGAGGTGTAAAGATGCAGGTATTTGTGTGATCTGAGGTGTGAAAATGCTGGAATTGGGACTAATCAGAGGCCTGAAGGAGCAAGAATTGGGGCTGATCTGGGTTGTAAAAATGCAGGGATTGGGGTGAACTGAGGTCAGGAGGTGTGCAAATTGGGGTAACCTGAGATGTGAAGGTTCAGAAATTGACACTGATCTGAGGTGTGAAGGCGCAGGAATTTGGGTAATCTGAATTGTGAAGGTGCAGGTATTGGGATGATCGGAGGTGTAAAAGTGCAAAAATTGGGGCTGATCTGAGGTCTGGAGGTGCAGAAATTGTATTCAGAGTTCTGGGGGTTCATGAGTTGGGGTTTATCTAAGGCCTGAAGGCACTAGAATTGTCGCTGGGGACATGGTGAGACGTTGCAGGAATTGGTGAGCTGAGTTGTGAAGGTGCAGGAATTGGTGTGATGATCTGAGGTTTGAAGGTGCACATATTTACATGTTGACATATTTATTTCCATCTTACCATACTTGCCTCACAGCACGTGTTTTTGGAAAAGGGTAAGTTACCATTTACCATCCTTTTGAAAGCTTAATTTTTTCTTACTACGGTATTATTCAAATAGTTTACAGCATTTACTGTATGAAAATGTATTTTCGTGATTGAGTGTGTAAAGTTAAATTTTTTTTTTTTACATAAATGACATTCTCAGTTTCTTCGAAAACATTTTTCAGCACACTATGCTCAGAAGGTTGCCTACCCTGTTCTAGTTACTGCTTTGTGTTTGTTAATTAGTAACATTGTTGTCAGTCACTGAGGACCTTGTTACACCTGCTTTGCAGAGGAACATTTACAAGAGGGATGTATAAGTAGCTATATATTAAAGAGCATCTGTGATCACAATGGGCCATATTTGCAGGTGTTTTCAAGGGACAATAGTGTCAAACATCTATATACTTTGATGGCATCCAGTTCAATCAAGCCTTCATTCTACAGCAACTATGTTTGAATCTAGTTAATTGTTTTGAGGCAGCAGACAGTTTAATATAGCCTATTTCATCAGTACACAACTTTGTAACCATTTTTTTATTTTTTTTTTATATTATTTTTGGACATTTCAGGAAATGCACACAATCGTAGATAATACTTTTATTTATTTTGTAATTAGCTAGCATAAATTTATATCTGGAACATAATATTAGTGTTGTAATAATTTGGCAAATCACAGAATAACAGTTGGGCAGCACAGTGACTTGGTGGTTAGCACTTCAACGTTGCATCACTGGGGTCTTTGATTTGAATATTGACCAAGACAGTATCTGCATGAATTCTGTATGTTCTCCCTGTGTTTGAGTGGGATTCTTTAAGGTACCATGGTTTCCTCCCACACTCCAAAGACATGCTGATAGTATGTATGTGGATTTTAGGACTCCAGGGACATTCAGTAAAGGTGTCTATACAAGAATCAAAATTTGGCTAGTTCAGCAGGACTGGATGAATTTTGACCATGTATAGGCAGGCTGGTTGTACAGAAGTTGATCTACCTATTGACTCCTGTACAACCAGCCTGTCCAATTTTTTTTCGGACTGATCAGTGCCAACAGCTATAGAAGGTGGCAGTGATAAGTGTGTTCTGACAGCAGGGAAGTCTCCTCACCATCAGAATACAAGAAACTCAACCTGAAGTCCCCATCCACATTGAGTGTGTGGATGAGGAAATTGTCTTTTTTTTTTTTTTTTTTTTTTTTTTCAACCCACTGATTGAACTAAGAAAAAAATATTCATGTATGGCCTGCCTAAGAGAGCAAATTTACCATGTATGCTGCTTTACCCTGTCCCCATACACACGCCAATTTAGCGACTCAAGCTAAGGGTTCACTTTAATGTTCTGTTTGTTTGGACATAACAGAGTTTGACGTGTTTAGTGGGCTTTAAAGTGGATCTTCACCCTCAAACATAAAATGCCTCCTCTCCACCCCTCCTCTTCTTACAGCGTGCGTTTTTTTTCTTTTTTTTTTTTTTTTTTTTTTTTTTTTTTTTTTTTTTTTTTTTTTTTTTTTTTTTTTTTTGTTTTTTTTTTTTTTTTTTTTTTTTTTTTTTTTTTTTTTTTTTTTTTTTTTTTTTTTTTTTTTTTTTTTTTTTTTTTTTTTTATTAATTTGTTTTTTTTTTTTTCATGAAAGAGCTCCAGGCCCACCCCCTAGGTAATTGGCGTGCATTAATCCCACTGTACCTCCAGGGATATGCATGTCGCATATCCCAGGAGACATAAGTCCATCATTGTTAATAAAGGAAAGGGGCAGGCCTAGTGCTACATCATTATGAAGCCTAGCTGCTGAACCCAGAAGAGCTGGTGGGCCTCACAATGATGTCACGTAAGAAGATGGTGGTGCAGGACCAAACGGGGCTGAATTCTGAGAGGATTCTGGAGTACACCGCTAGATCTGTTGGGTGGGTGAGTATACGAAATGGTTACAACCCCCACCAAAGAAAAAAGAGGTTGGAGAGGTTGGAGATCCACTTTAAAGCTTGCTAAAATACATTTTACGTAACATATCAAGATGTAAGCAATTTTTGTAGTGTTTAGGCAGATCACTCCTAACACTGTCTATTGATTTTTTTTTTTTTTTACTTACAGGTTTAAAGGAAATGTCCAATGGTATACTGTAAATCTGGACCTACCCCCATATGAAAGGTGGCAAAAGCTGATTAGTGATAAGAAGGCCCCGGTGAGTGTGAAAAGTTCTGGCCCGCTCATTGTTCCAATATACAGTTGTGCTCCAAAGGTTTGCATACCCTGGCAGAAATCCTGAAACTTTGGCACTGATATTGAAAATATGGCTGATCATGCCAAAAAAACTGGCCTTGGTACAACGCATAAGGTGACACAGGCCGGTTAAATTGGCAATTAAAGGTTAACTTCCCACATATGTGGCTTTTAAAAATGCAATTAGTGTTTGTGTATAAATAGCCAATGAGTTTGTTAGCTCTAACATGGTTGCACTGAGCAGACTAGATACCATGGGGAGCAGAAAAGAACTCAAAAAGACCTGCGTACCAAGGTAATTATAAAGATGGAAAAGGATATAAAAAGATATCCAAAGTCTTGAATATGCCAGTCAGTACTGTTCAATCACTTATTAAGAAGTGGAAAATTTGGGGATCTCTTGATGCCAAGGTCAGGTAGACCAAGCAAGATTGCAGGAAGAAATACAGGCTGCCCTGTAAAAAGACGGTGTGACTGTTTCAAGGAACACAATACAATGATAAATGAAAAAAATGTAGTGCGCTATATCCTCATAAATAAACCCATGTGCTTTGAAAACATAAAATGACAGTCCAAAAGATTGTGTAACACAATTATGATAATAAACGTCCAATCCAGTATATGTTGCGTTATCATCCAGCAATCATCAACACCATGCTTGAATTGTGGCCCCACAGTTGAATATGAATCCCATAAGAAATAAAGAAATGTGTTTTGCCTGCTTACTCGTGTTTTCTTTAAAAATGGTACATACTGTATATTGCCAATTCTCCAAGGGTATGCAAACTTTTGAGCACAACTGTACAGCCACACAAAGCTGAGCCTGAGCATATTGATTTCAAGTGTCACATGACCTCTGAGTTTGATTTCAAAACTACATATGTGGCTTATTTAGAACAAATATGTGCCATTGCACGATGTTCAAAGATGTTATAGAGAGAGACTGTCTGGCCTCTGGATATGATATGAGGACCTGTCAGTCAAGGGTCATCCAAATGACATCATTACACATCTTAAACGGAAAGTATTTTGTATTTTCAGGGAGCACATATATTGAGTTATTTATTGGACTTAAAGGATAAGTTCACCTTTGGGAACATGTTACATGTTCCACCTGTTTTTGGGTGGGAACATGTAACATGTTCCCATAGCTGCAACCGCCACCCACCGCCCCCCTCCCTCTGACAGATATCTGTCAAATTTGAAAACCGTGTGGCGATGCAGGGCTCCGCATAGCGGCTGACAGCTTGTAGTGTTCAGTAAACTACCATGGCACTGTGGAGAGGCGAGGTAGTTCATTGAAGCTTAATGTCAGAATATCTGCTTGCTTATACATCCAGTACTGCAAGCAGATATTCTGACAGGTCTGCAGGAGACCTGCATGGCATCAGTGATCTATTGATCACTGGTGCAATGCTTTCCAGTCTCCTGTAGATAAAAATAATAAAAGCAAATTTTTTTACCTGCAAAAAATGTGTATTTATTATTTTTGTCTAAAAGGTGAACTTTAAACCTTTTAAAGTCATTACTTCCACATTTTTACAGACTTCCTCTTTTCCATTTTGTTATTTAATAATGAGAAATGTAGCTTAGCCACTACAGGAAGAAGAGGTTAGCTACTAGAATGACTTTGCCTAACTGCCAGGAAACTGTTCAAATAATATTGCTGAAATAAAGTAATAATCACTTGGAGTATTTTTATTGTTTTATGGTATAACAACAAGAGTAATAGGGTGTCATGAACAAAAGTTATTTTCAAGGTAACAAGTCATGATGCTATGTGTTTATACAATGGAATAGATTGTACTTTTTACATGGTTATAGCACCCATACAGAACAATATTCATTCAAACATCTGTTTGTAGTCATAAATAAGATGACTATTTCAGTAGATAGAGGTAGTTACCAAGTGAATTTCTGTTCCTCTTAGGTATATTTTTTGATAAACCATGTAGCGTACATACTAAGACATTAACATTGTAATAGGGGACCAGAAACCCTTGACCTTTCACCTTTATCATATGTAAAGAAAATAGGGTTGATATGGTAAAACTGGAGAGTGCAAAATCGTGTGCAGCTGTGCATGGTAGCCAATCCGCTTCCAACTTCAGCTTGTTCATTTAAGCTTTGGTAATAAAACCTGGAAGATGATTGGTTTCTCATGGTGTGGTGTTCTCTTCTCTCCCTGGACCAGCATAGGGGGTAGCGGGGGGTGCATGCACACTTAGAAATAGAAAGCGACGTAAGGGTACATTGCTTTGTCCAGAGCCGTAACTCACACGCACATTGCAGGCGGCCGGTTGGCAAGTAGTTAAAAAAAAATAAAAAATTGTTCTCAATATTTAATTTTTTTTTTTTTTATATACAAATGCTTTACCATAGTAACATTGTACTACTACTCTAGGGAGGGTGATCAGGGATTATTTTTGCACTTTGCATTGTAGGAGCAATTAAGAATATTGCTCCTGCAATGCAATGGTTGTGTTGAACGGTCATGAATGGGTTAAGGTCATGACAGTTCAAAATACAATTATCTGTGATTGGCTCCAGTTGGTCACATGATACAGGGTGCTGTATTTGGCCGCCCATGTACCATGTGAGAGCTGCATCCATTCACAGCTCTCCAGGAACAGAAGCAAAGCTGTTATGAATCAGATTGATTCATAAAAACTTTGCTAGCATTGTGATCATGTGACCGCATAGTGGTCACATGATCACCGGGTCCCGATTACTGGGAATAGCTCGCAGTGGGGGGAGGCAGGGCTGCCCTGTGTTGGTTCAGCCCAAGTGACATACTGTACACCGCTAGTCCTGTAGCTGCCACCTGTCCGCAGTAACAGTACTGTAGGCGGCCGGCAAGTGGTTAATTAGAAAAATAAATTTAATTTAACCCCCTTAGCGTTGGCGCCTCCCAGCCCTTTCAGGGTTTCAGAAGCCAGGAGGTGGGCGGGGATTTATGGTCATGTGACCGCCGTGATTCGCTGTCACGGCAGTCACATGATCTGGGAAAGGTCCCGATCACAAGAGGAGATCGGGACCTTTCCGTGAGTACCGGACATGTGTGCTGGGAGCGTGCAGGGCGTGCGCTCTCAGCACATGTTTTTTTTTTAATTGCATGCAAATGTGCGGCCGCTCGGCGTCTGCAATTTATATTCGTATGTGACATTATGATGTTATGGTGTATGTGATCACATACATAGGAACTAATTCACGATTGAGTCACAATATATGAATTTGTATAATGATTTCATTTCAATACGCTGATTTATTCAGCAATTCAGTAGATATTGTTCATTCGTTTGCTATAGTGTATCTGTGAACCCATTCAGTATAAAATAGAAATGAAAAGCAAAATGTGTAATAAAAATATATACACATATATACAAGCTGTCGGCTTGTAGTTCTCCATGAACTACCAGGGCACTGTTCATCTCTCTAGGTAGTTCATTGAGCTTCTGATTAGTCTAACTACCTGCCCCTATAAGAAGTACGGGCAGACAGCTACATAGACAGTCTGCAGGACCATGGCATTACACAGCAATGCTTTACAGGCTCCTAACAAAAGAAATATAACATTTTTTTTTGTAAAGGTGAACTTATCCTTTTAACATTTAGAAATGTTTTTTGTTATTGAGGTCATGATTGTAGTAAACATGAAATGATACCCTCATGATATAATTTTTTTTATCTTTTTCTGCAGCTAACAGAACTAATTCAGCATATCAAGAACCTGGCAAAATCCATTTTTCCAAAACTTATCGACATAGTGGATAAGAAATTGGTGAGTAACCATGGCATAAATTGTTGATTTCACAGTGTAATAAATATGGCCTCCTGAATAATCTATGTTTACATTGGCATTGTTATGCTGAGACTCTTCCAGCAGTGATACTGCCATAACCAGATACAAATAGTCAGTGCTTACGTGGAAAAAGGATACAAACCTACTGCAGAAAAATGTATTCGTACACCCGGGCTGCTCATCATTGATTTAACAGGCTGCCTGTGTGGGTGTGCACAGAACACCTATGCATCCTGCGTGGGTGAATGCAGCCCTTGGTATGGGTGTATGAATAGGTATGCTCAGGTGAATAAGGCCTTAAAAAAGGGCCATGCAGATGAATATTCACTGTTTGTGTAATACACAGCGTCCATGGCTTTATGGCTTCCCTCACACTGGGAATCTTTAGAAACACTTCAGGATAGACAGAACACCAGCATCATATGACACCAGGGGGTGGGGGTGCGGAGGGCTGGTCCGATCATAACATGTTACACTCTAAATATGGAGGTGAACTTATCCTTTAGGATGCTTGAAATAAGAATTGTCTATATTGCTGACATATAGTTTCAATGGAAAATAATGTTTAGCATGAAACAGGCTGTGTGGCCATGTAAACAATTCTCATGAACTATACTTTGATAAATGGATTGCTTCCATGTTTGTATTTCAGAGCAGTAAACCACTAAGATATTTTTGTTATCAACACTACATTACAAAAAAAATTGCAATTAATATACATGTTGTGGGGTGTTGTTTTGTTTTTTTGAAGAAGCGGACTTGCTCTTTAAATCAGAGTGCACTATAATAGGGAGTTCCTAATGCTTCAATATCTAACCCGTTTGTGTTACAGCCTTTCCTTATTGGAAATCTTCCATCCCCGTTTGGTGAAGAACTAAAAGGCATTGCAGATGCAGCTGGCCAACCACTAGGTATAACTTTACCATGCTGGGATTTCATCTCAGTTTTTATCACTAGTTATTTTTAGGGATGTGCAAGTCAACCATCCCTGAACTTTCACAGATAAAGAAGAGATCCTAAATCTGTGGCTGCCTGCTGCCAATGTAGGACAACATTTCCATAGCTGAAGCCTTTTTTTGTTATCTGTCAGGGGTTTTAAACTGTTTCTGGTTAATCAAACCGACAGGGAATCATGGTACTTTTCATGTTAAATCCAACCAAAGACACAACCAAAGTGCATGGTTTTAGAAGGGTGGGGATGTCCTTTATTTGGGTCAAAGCTGCACATTTTTCCAGGACAGGTTAGGTTGTAAAAGAAAGAATCAAGTTTCTATAGGATAGAAACTTATTTTTTTTAGATAGTTTTGGTGTTTGTGGCCTAGGTTGGCATTTGCAGGTATAATTTAACTTTGTTTTTATCCAAAAACTTAACATATTTTACATCTAGTTTGTCAGTACCTGTTGTTGTGTAGGGAAGTTGCTACAACTTTTAGCTACATTCTTGTGTAAGAGTGGTACAACCCCCAAAGGGCTCAGTATAATCCATGGCCTGTGGCCCTCCAGTTGTTGTGGAACTGTCCCATGAGGCATTGCAAGACTGACAATTACAAGCATGACTTCCAAAGACAGAGGCATGATGAAACTTGCAGGTCCATGACAGCTAGAGGGCTGCAGGTTGAGCACCCATATATAATCCATTGGGGCCCACCAAGCTAAATCCTTGTATTGTAGGGCAGAAGCAAGGCTTACATCTTGTTTATCAGCCTCAAGCTTCACTGTATAACCCTGTTCTGTTTACATTTTATTTCAGGGGAAATTATGTTGTTCAACATCTTTTATGAAGTCTTTTCTGTTTGCACATCAGTAGTAGCACAAGATACCTCGGGTAACGTTTTTAGTTGTTCTAGTTTTAGTTTAATTTGTTAAAAATTATTTGTAGCATCTAAAATGTCTCTATTCATATACAGGCAAGTTAATTCATGCAAGAAACCTGGATTTTGGATTATTTCTGGGGTGAGTAAGCACATTTCTATCAACTTGTGCTTGAATATACATATATCTCTGACATTTACACTGCTCAAAAAAATTAAAAGAACACTTTGAAATCACATCCGATCTCAATGGGGAAATATATCATGCTGGATATCTATCCTGGGTAATGTGTTAGGAACGTAAGGATGCCCCATCTTTTGATGGAAATTAAAATGATCAACCTACAGAGGACTGAATTCAAAGACACCCCGAAAATTAAAGTGGAAAAATGATGCAGCAGGCTATTCCATTTTGCTGAAATTTCATTGCAGCAACTCAAAATGGTACTTAGCAGTTTGTATGTCCCCCCACGTGCTTGTATGCATGCCTGACAACGTCAGGGCATGCTCCTAATGAGACAATGGTTGGTGTCCTGGGGTATTTCCTCCCAGATCTGGACCAGGGCATCACTGAGCTCCTGGACAGTCTGAGGTGCAACCTGGCGGTGTCGGATGGACCGAAACATGATATCCCAGAGGTGTTCTATTGGATTTAGCAGGTGGGAGGCCATTCAATGATATAAATTCCTTCATCCTTCAGGAACTGCCTGCATACTCTCACCACATGAGGCCAGGCATTGTTGTGCACCAGGAGGAACTCAGGACGCACTGCAGCAGTGTAGGGTCTGACAAGGGGTCCAAGGATTTCATCCCAATTCCTAATGATAGTCAGGGTGCCATTGTCTAGCCTGTAGAGGTCTGTGTGTTCCCCCATTGAATATGCCTCCCCAGACCATCACTGACCCACCACCAAAAGGGTCTGGCTGAACGATGTTACAGGCAGCATAACGTTCTCCATGGCTTCTCCAGACCCTTTCACATCTGTCACATGTGCTCAGGGTGAATCTGCTCTCATCTGAAAAGCACAGGGCACCAGTGGCAGACCTGCCAATTCTGGTGTTCAATGGCAAATGCTAATTGAGCTCTATGGTGCCAGGCAGTGAGCACAGGGCCCACTAGAGGACGTTGGGTCCTCAGGCCGCCCTCATGATGTCTGTTTCTGATTGTTTGGTCAGAGAAATTTACACCAGTGGCCTGCTGGAGGTCATTTTGTAGGGCTCTGGTAGTGCTCATCCTGTTTCTCCTTGCACAAAGGAGCAGATACCAGTCCTGCTGATGGGTTAAGGACCTTCTACAGCCCTGTCCAGCTCTCCTAGAGTAACTGCTTGTCTCCTGGAATCTCCTCCATGCTCTTGAGACTGTGCTGGGAGATACTGCAAACCTGGCAATGGTACGTATTGATATGCCATCCTGGAGGAGTTGGACTACCTGTGCAATCTCTGTAGGGTCCAGGTATTGCCTCATGCTACCAGTAGTGACGTTGAGCCTAGCCAAATACAGAACTAGTGAAAAACAGTCAGAAACGATGAGTAGGGAAAAAAATATCAGTGGCCTCCACCTGTAAACCCATTCCTGTTTTGGGGTTTGTCTCATTGTTGCCCATCTAGTGCTCCTGTTAATTTCATTAACACCAAAGCAGCTGAAACTGATTAACAGCCCCCCTCCGCTACTTAACTGACCAGATCAATACTCTGCTAAAAAAGTGTTCCTTTCATTTTTTTGAGTGTGTGTGTATGTATGTATTTATGTGGTATGTATGTGTGTGTATATGTATATGTGTGAATGTATGTGATACACACACACACACACACACACACAACACACACACACACACTTTCTACCGTGCAGTAAATATACATTATTTATTTTTAATTAGATGGGATGTGAAGAACAATTCATGGACTGTATCTGAGCTCCTTAAACCGATGGTTGTCAACGTGAATTTCCAAAGAAATAATAAAACAGTTTTCGTGTCTACAGTTTATGCTGGATACATCGGAATACTAACTGGAATGAAACTGTGAGCTTTAATCCTATGCAAGTTTTTACTATTAGTTTACTGTTGTCGCTTGTTGAAGAGGAGATCCAAAGTAGTTAAAACTTTTGTTTTGCTGTGCTTGGGCAAAACCACAAAGATCGTTTTAATTATGTCTCCCCCCTTCCCTCCCCTACCAGCTACCAGCTATACATGCTCTCCTTCCTTTTGCTTCCTGCCACTCTCTTTGGCTGCTGGGAACTAAAAAGGAATCCTTATATGATGTTCAAGGTGTGACTTATGCCCACCCACATGTGCTATTGATGGGTGCCTGAATGGCCTAACAACAGCTCTGTCACTTGGGAGGATTGAGGTAAATCACATGGTTCCCATACATGAAAGTACTTGGTATATGTGTTTACATTCAGTGGTGGGGAAGCAAAGAGAATGTTAGTATGTAATGCTGGGGAGGGCATTAGATAGGAAAACCTGTTGCTTTGCACTGCATGATCAAATCAAAAATACTCAATAGATTTTTTTTTTTTTTTTTTTAAAGTCCGCAAACGTGCAACTATAACGTAAAAACCCGTAAGTGTCCGCAAAAAAGTGCAAGTGCAGAAACACACACACAAGCACCAAAAACGTGCACTTAGGGGTGTGTTTGTCCTACCCCCGAAAGTTTGGACCGTATCACAAAAGCATCCGATCCCCCGGGGCACGTAGCTCCTGACAGGGACAAGGTTCCCATTTGGTCCTCCTGGCCATCTGAGGCCTGGTGGACCATTTCCTTATGCCCAGCCGAAAGCCGGACATCCAGTACTAGGCTGAAGGGTTTAAGGGTTCTCCCCGAAAGAGAAAAAAAAGCCCCTACCTGGAATCGCCTAGGGATCAGGGGGAAGGCAAACCTATGGTACACATATGCCATCCTGGAGGAGTTCACTGCCTGTGCAATCTCTGTTAGGGTCCGGGATTGCCCACATGCTACCAGTAGTGACGTTGACACAGCAAATACAGAAAGCAAAAAGTGACAAAACGTCAGAAACGGTGAATAAATAGAAAAAATATCAGTGGCCTCCACCTGTAAACCCATTTCCTGTTTTGGGGTTTGTCTCATTGTTTTTTTTAATAGTGCTCCTGCACATTAACACAAAGGCTGAAACCTGATTAACAGCCCCCTCTGCTACTAACTGCAATCAATACTCTGCTTAAAAAAGTGTTCCTGGTCCTTTTTTTGAGTAGTGTGGTGCGCTGTGCATGTGTGGTATGTATGTGTGTGTAAATGTAAAAGTGTGAATGTATGTGTCACACACACACCTGTTTGCAGTCCCATACCCAAGTTATTTTTACTAGATGGATGTGAAGAACAATTCATGAGAGCTGTATTGAGCCCCAGGGGGTCACTGAGTTTCCAAAGAAATAATAAAACTTTTTGTGTTGGTCTCCCCGTTTACCCATCGGAAGACTAAGGAATGAAACCTGTGAGCTTTAAATCCATGAGTTTTTACTATTAGTTTACTTTCCGGTCTCCCCAGAGGAGATCCAAAGTAGTTAAAACTCCCAAGGCCCCAAGCAACAAAACAAAAAAGGCGTCTCCCCCCTGGTTATCTGTGTCCCTTTTGCTTCCTGCCACTCTCTTTGGCTGCTGGGAGCCTAAAAAGGAATCCCCTTATATGATGTTCAAGGTGTGACTGTACAACCCACCCCATGTAAACTATTGATGGTGCCTGAATGGCCTAACACACAGCTCTGTCACTTGGAGGATTGAGGTAAATCACATGATACATGAAAGTACTTGGTATATTGTTATTCAGTTAGGGGAGCCAAAAATGTTAGTATGTAATGCTGGGGAGGACATTCGATAGGAAAACCTGTTGCTTTGCACTGCATGATCAAATCAAAAATACTCAATAGATTGGAAATTTACACACAGAACTGGAGGCTCATCTCTTGTCAGGTGGTTAGGTATAAAGCTTCAGTCAGACAAAGCCAGCTAAGAGGCAGTCTAATGGAGTGCTCTCTTTAGGTAACTCATAGTGCTAATATATTTGCATGTATTAAAACAATTCAAAGACTACATAATATACTAAAATGACAAATATAAAACATTGGTTTATAAACCTGTAAGTACACAATATGCAGGTGCAGGACTGTGTGTGGTTACACGCTTTCCCACACCCATATCAAACATGTGATGCTGTTAGCAGATACACAGGGTGCCATTAATTCATATGGCACCTCCAACACACTGAAAACAACCGAAGCACGTTTTCCAGTGCCAGGACCCACATAGTGCTATGCGGTTTCCCTGCGGCTGCTGTGCCGTAGCAAATGCGGTCACAGGGAAACCACACTATATATATATATATATATATATATATATATATATATATATAATATATTATATATATATATATATATATAAAATTTTTATAATGCAACATCATTTAAAAATTATTTTAACTAACCAGGAACTATTTATAGCTTCCATTTAGATTCTGCCAGCTTCTGTTATAACTCCATTTAATATACGCTTATTGGGATTTTTTTACCAAAAATATGCAGCAGAATACATTTTGGCCTAAATTTATGAAGAAATTTGATTTTTAAAATGTTTTATTGGATATGTTTTTTATAGCAGAAATTAAAAAATATTGTTTTTTTTTTTTTTTGTTTTTTTTTAATGTATGATCTTTTTTCATTTATAAAATAAAAACCCAGTGCTGATTAAATACCACCAAAAGAAAGCTCTGTTTGTGGGCAAAAAAATGATATCAATTTTGTACAGCGTTGCATGACTGCGCAATTGCCAGTTAAAAGAACGCAGTGCCGAATAGCAAAAAAATTACCTGATCATGAAATCTTTTGGAGGTTCCAGGCCAGTGACAGGGTTTCCATGGTGGTACTGGAGTGATGCATGTGGCTAGCTGGACAGCTGATCAAAGCTGGAATCAGCTTTGATCGGCTCGCCTTTGTTGTAAACCAGAAGCGATGACCTGACATCACTTTTGGTTGACTCGGTAAATTTCAGTGCCATTTTAAAAATCTGGAAGCATTCAAAAACACTGATCTTGGTGTTTTTAAATGCTTTCAAGTACAGAGGAAGGATTTGGGGTCTCATAGACTCCAGATCCCTCCATAAAATACCTGTCACGTGTCTATTGCTGTCACAGGAGAGGTTTACATTCCTTGTGGCAGCAGTAAGAGTGATCCAAAATTAAAAAAAAAAATAAAGTGAAGGAGAACATACGCGTCTGTCCCGCATGCACACAAACAGTGATCGTCCTACACTTGTGAGGTATCGTCGTGATATATATATATTTGTGTGTGTGTGTATTTATGTATGTAATTCTGCGAAGCTGGCCCGCACTGTAGAAGTAAAACTACAGCGCACAGTCAGCAAGTGGTTGATAAAACTATTACATCATTTAAAATATAACTAAAGGAAAAAATTTTTTGGGGGGGGGTTTAAATTCCTGGGTTTTTTTTGCTTCCTCTGCCCTGTTAAAGAGGTCCGGCCCTCTATTTGTCCTGTTTGTCATTATCACTGAAAGTGAAAATAAAAGAAAATCCCACATTTTGGGTTGTCCCTAAAACAGTAATAGAGGAAAAACCTTCTAATGGGGTCACTAGTTCTGGTAACTTGGGGGTCTCAAGAGATTCCCTTAATTTGCAAGGATTTGTTACGCAGATGGCAAAAAAAAACTGACGGGATAAAAAAAACAGTTTTGCCAATAGTTCTATTAACTGTAAATTCATCTGCACTTACAATTTTGCCTTAGTCCCCCTGCAAAGTCCCCCAAATACCTGTAGGATCTGCCACAGAATGCAGCGTCCTGTGATGGTGTGGCAACAGTGCTGCACTGCACCTGAATTCAGAGCAGAGTTGCCACTCTCATATAGGCTGTACCTGTTCACACTACAGTGGGATGAGGTGTCATTGCAGGAGGTGTGGATATCTGCATTGTCACTGTTGATTCACCAACTTGTCATTCAGCAAATGGCCACATCTAGTCCTGTCTACTATAATATAGAATAATACAAAGAAAAACAAAAATAGCAGGGCAGGACAGCTGTCAGCAACACATCCAATATCATCACACTGATTGGAGTCAAGGTTGGCTCACTCCTGGCTCCAATTAGCTCTGGGAGAAGTCTTTAAGCTAGGGCCTCACATACTTTTTCCTCCCTGCACTGTGAATGTTTACATGTTATGTGCAATTAAACCATGGCAACATCTAATGTTTGTGTAGTATGATGTTCAGCAGACTGTGTTCTTCTATTGTTGTGAGCACATTTTATGCCCAATTCATGCAAAACTCCACGTAATCCCAAGGGGTTCACATACTTTTTCTTGCAACTGTATGTGAGTCCCAATATGTTAACTCTGTATTGTGAAGGTGCTAATCAAAATCCAGCAGGTTGTGCGCATAAATTCTGGAAATCAGGAATCAACCATAAAGTGGGAAGTGCTTATCTTCCGGCGGTGTGCAATAGATTAGTGGAATTGCAAACTCACCAGAAGCGCAATCTTAATGCACATTAGCCAAAATTTGCCAGCCTGGAGATCTCCCTTCAATGGAACCTGGTCTGGTCTGGAAATCTTTCCTTCTGATGACCAGACCATGTCTTACCATCCATGAGAGGGACCTCTGATTGACCTCACCGTAAACGCCCATACCATCAGAGGGAAAGATTTCCAGACCAGACCAGGTTCCATTGAAGGGAGATCTCCAGGCTGGCAAATTTTGGCTAATGTGCATTAAGATTGCGCTTCTGGTGAGTTTGCAATTCCACTAATCTATCACACACCAGCGGATGATAAGCACTTCCCACTTTATGGTTGATTCCTGATTTCCAGAATTTATGCGCACAACCTGCTGGATTTTGATTAGCCCCTTCATGTTACAGAGTCCTGTCTACTGCTTTCTGGATTCACAGCACTGCAACTGCTACTGAAACCCCCCACTGTGAGCTGCAGTGTCTAGGAGGGGGAGCAATTGAAAAACAAATGGAGGATTTGGCTCAGTCATGGTAGGTAAAGGAAGCTCTTGTTTGTATTATGAGGCTTGTGCATCACATATCTAGATTTCATTCTTGTTTAGACTGTCATACAAGAACATTTTAGGTGTAATTTAAAGTAACAGTTTCTGGATAATATTTGTTTCTTAGAAGTCAATAATGCAGGTATGGTGTTATTAGGGTGGAAAGGTACATTTCTGATTGTTTCTGCTCTTCTTTCAGGGTATCCTAACTCTCACTATGAATGAACGTTTCAGTATAGATGGAGGATACATAGGTGAGATACTTGCTGCATGAATTTATTTATATTACCTGGCCAGTCCATGCAATCAGTGTTTTACACACCTCACAATGCCACAGTGCTGGGTCATCTAATTGTTTTTTGGGCAAGGGTGACGGTTCACTAAATTAATTGTCCATTGAGCACACTGAAGATTATACAGGCTTACCTGGGTTTACGAACACCTCGGTTAACGTAATTTTCGGTTTTACGAATGAAAATCCATTGAAAATAATGGCTCGGTTTACGATTTTTTTTTTCGCAATATGAACAGATTAATTGGTTTTCAATGCACTTATGAATTTTTTTTTTAATCATGTCCCTGTACAGTACTATGCCTTTAAAGTGCACTTTATAAAGAGTTTTGAGCAGATAAAAGACTTTTTTTTTTACTCTTTTCTGACCTCCGGAACGGATTAATTGGTTTTCAATGCATTTACAAATTCATTTTTAATCATGTCCCTGTACAGTATTTATGCCTTTAAAAGTGCATTTTCCAAAGAGTTTTGAACAGATAAAAGACAGAGGTACGCCTGTATAGTTATATAGCTGACTCACTGTGCCAATCTTGGTGGTGGTGTCTGGTCTCCGGTTCAACTGTCCAATAATATTAAAAAAAATGTAAAGGACTGTATGTGTGTGTGTATGTATGATCTATATATATATATATATATATATATATATATATAATTATTATTATATTTATTTTTATTTTTTTTTTATTATAAAGTATATAGCGCCAAAAAGTTTGCTCAGCGCTGTACATTATAGTGGGGGGCAGTACATGAGACAATACAGTAACAATACAATATCTAGGAGGGAGGGGATAGTGGTACAGGAGGAAATGGCTGTGGGGGATGGAGTGGTAGGAGGAGTTGAGGAGATCAGCTGTTAGGTGAGGGCGGGGTAGTCTTCCCTGAAGAGATGGGTTTTCAGGGTGCGCCTAAAGGTGAGGAGGGTAGATGACAGTCTGATGGATTGGGGTAGTGGGTTCCAGAGGATGGGGGAAGACCTGGAGAAGTTCTGCAGTCAGGCATGGGAGGAGGAGACTAGGGAACTGGAGAATAGGAGGTCTTGTGAGGAGCGAAGAGTACGTGTTGGGTGGTATTTGGATATCAGGTTGGTGAGGTAGTTTGGGGCAGTATTATGAATAACTTTGTATGTCAATGTTTGTAGTTTGAATTTTATGCGTTGGGCAATCTGAAGCCAGTGGAGGGATTGGCAGAGGGGGGTGGTGGATACGGAGTGGTTGGTAAGGTGGATGAGTCTGGCCGCTGAGTTCAAGATAGACTGAAGCGGGGAGAGTCTGTGATGAGGTAAGCCGGCGAGGAGGGAGTTGCAGTAGTCAAGCCGTGATATAATGAGGGAGTGAATGAGTTGTTTAGTAGTGTCTGGGGTTAGGAACGTACGTATTTTGGAGATGTTGCGGAGGTGGAGCCTGCATGAGTTTGCCAGCGATTGGACCTGGGGCTGGAAGGACAGATTTGAGTCAAGAGTGACACCTAGGACTTTGGCTTGTGGGGTGGGACTGATGGTGGCGTTGTTGGTCGTGATGGAGAGGTTGGGGGGGGAGGGGGTGCACGGGCTGGGGGAAAACTAGGAGCTCGGTTTTGGAAAGGTTTAATTTGAGGAAGTGGAGTGACTTCCAGTCTGATATGTCGTTCAGTAGGCAGGTGATTCGGGTGGAGACTGAGGGGGTGAGGTGAGGGGTGGAGAGGTAGATTTGCGTGTCATCGGCGTAGAGGTGGTAGTTGAAGCCATGGGAATGTATCAGTTGGCCAAGGGAGGAGGTGTAGATGGAGAAGAGAAGGGGCCCGAGGACAGAGCCTTGGGGGACCCCAACAGAGAGGGGGAGGTGGCAGCGTTATAGGTAACACTGAAGGAGCGCTGAGATAGATAGAAGAGCCAGGAGAGAGCGGAATCTCTGATGCCAAGGGAGTATAGTTTTTTTAAGGATATATATAGAAATGAAATGATTATAGAAGGAGAAATGATTGCTTTTACAGCCTTTATGGGTGTAAAAGCAATCAGTGTAAAAAAAATCTTCATCACCCCCCCACAAGTAGTACAGTGTCATGGTGATACTGTACTGCTAGGGTGACAGTATGTAGAAAAAAAAAACAAATAATATAAAAATGTAAAAAAAAATTTTTTTGAAATTTATAATTTTTGGTTATAAGCTAATTTGGGTTATTTTTTTTTTTAATAAAAAGATAACTAAATAAATTTTGGCCAAGATTTGAAAAACACTTTTTTTTTCAAAATTTTTGGACTTTTTCATTTGTATAGCAAAAAAAATAAAAATCCCAGCGGTGAATAAATACCACCAAAATAAAGCTTTATCTGTCTCAAAAAAATGCTAAAAAATTAATATGGGTACAGTGTTGCATGACCGCGCAATTGTCATTCAAAGTGTGATAGTGCTGAAAGCTGAAAATTGGCCTGGACAGGAAAAGGGTAAAAGTGTCCGGACTGGAAGTGGTTAAACCATTCTCTGTAACAATGCAATTAAGTGTTGTATGTTATATTTTTATATGTATATGCACTAACAAGTTCATATTTTAGGACAGACTTTTGGGAGCTCCACTCCCTTCTTCTGACCCAGGTATTACAAGGATCACATACAGTACTTAACTGTGTTAATACATGTACACAAATATGCCTACAGTCACCTTACACTCATTCCCTGTGTATGTATAGGAATCTTGGAGTGGATAATTGGAAAAAGACAGGGAGTGTGGATGGGCTTTCTAACCAGAAGTGTACTAGAAAATGCAACCTGGTAAGGACTATTTTTTGCTTCTGCAAGTTACAAAACTGCATATTTCATTATCGTTATTTGGATCTCCTCTGCAATTTGTACTACATGCTAGCCCTCTATATGCAGTCTCTGTAATTTTATGAAACAAATAGTTTATTTTGTTTAATAAACATAAACAATTTTTTTTAACTAAACTTAGCCTTAATACAGTCTGGTCTGTCATAGAGCTAATAAATAGCTGTGCAAATATCCTGCGACATAAAAAATTGCACTACTACCACCATCTTCTCCAGGATCTCTGCTTTCAAAATATATTCTTTTGGGGGGGTTTACAGTAATTTTCTAGCAAAAAAATGAAAAAATTGCCACGGTAGAAAAGCGGTTAATCCGTATTTATAATTTTTGGGATAGAGTGCAAGTTAAATTCAAAAGATATTCTGGGATTAGATTTTGTTGACCAAGATGTATAACAACTACATTACATAAATATATTTCAATAGAAATGTATTCTGTTTTTTCCCATCTATATGTGCAGCTATGAAGACGCTAAAGAGGTTCTATCAAAAACAGAGATGCTTGCTCCAGCGTATTTCATCTTGGGAGGTAACAAGCCTGGGAGGCCTGTGTAATCACACGCAGCAGGAAGTCCTCCATCAATTTCTGGGAGTGAGTAGTCACTCGGGTTTTATATAATCAACTTGGAAGTGAAAATTAAGCCTTGGAATGTACAAAAGGAATTCAACCGTATGTCTGCCTAGGGTTTTATTGTTTACAGAGGTGAAGGGTAATATTCACAGTCACATTTTTATTGCTGTCCTTGTTCCCGTTGATGAAATGTACCCCTCTTTTTCACAATAAAACAGAAAACAAGGGGAAATCAAAAACAGTATATTTGTCACCAGTGAGTGAGGGTAAATCTTCCAATGACGACCTCTTTCTCAGTGACAACTAAGGGCTCTTTCACACGGGTTGCGGGGTGCAATAAAAATAGGCAGTTGACACCCATACCTTTCTGAATGTGAGAAAATTACCTCCACAAATTACCGCCAGTATATTTGTCAGCAGTGAGTGAGGGTAAATCTTCCAATGAGGACCTCTATCTCAGTGACAACTAAGGGCTCTTTCACACGGGTTACGGGGTGCAATAAAAATAGGCAGTTGACACCCATATCTTTTGGAAATGTTACTTTTTTCTCCTACTTTATCTGGTAACCCTACCCACATTACCCTAGCCAATTGATTACTTTTCAATGGGTTTTCTATCCCCCAGACGAGACCCGTCCATACCATTTGTGTTTCTATACACTGGCTTATAGCTAGACACTGGAAATCTTCCTCAGTTCCCATTCCACAATTAAAAATAAGAGTAGACTCGATTTTGTCTTGTGGAAAAAATATTTCACACTCTATATAACTCTGTGGCTTTTTATACACTAAATGGGATCCCTGATTTGAACATTCGAATTATTGAATGTTAACTAGCTCATCGTTATCCTATACTAAATGGATCATTCATTTATCACCCATATTGGCTTTCTCTACTTCTATCTTGGTATTGTTTTGTTTATCTTCCTTTTTACCCTTGTTATATATGTTCACCTGTAATCTTTTTTGAATACCCAATTTTGTATGTTTTTACAACTGTGCTTTTTTTGTACCACCAATTTCTACCTAAAAAAAATTTGTAAACAAAAAAAAAAAAAAGCCATGGTTTTTCTACCCACCTGAATTCTAACATATGCAGCTAAAGAGGGCTGCATACATATTGCATCTCCGGAAATTTTTAACTCCACCAGCAGAGGTTGACAGGTAGCACCATCTGTCCTAACTTGGTCATTGAGGTCAATGGTAGTGTGCTCCAACCACAAATAAACACTTGGCTGGTGGTTGTGGTGCAGAACTTTTAATTAAAAAAAAAAAAAAAGGCATTCAGAAGGAAGCAGGATCGCATCTTGAACACCTACCAATCAGTGCTATGCTGTCCTCTGAAAAGTGATATATCTTGGATCGCTTTTCGGAGAGCAGAATGCACTGCCGCAAATGTGAAAGAGCCCTAAAGGGGGAATTTAACTCACTGTAAGAGATTTCATCTATCTTCCAGGACAGGAAAGGAAATCTCACTGATAGAATACAGACAATAGAAGACAAACTTTTAACCATTCCCTGAAACTAAAACAAAAAAAATTTGCTATGCTAACTCTTTTACTCTTTGCTAAAGTGCATTTTAATTGCATTCTTTCTTCATATTCTATTAATTAAAGAAAATTAAAGAAAACGTTTAAAAAATCATATATAGATTTGTAGCTAGTTCATTATTTTTCATTTTATTCTGCCTGATTGTGTGCTTGTAGCATTTAGTTTATAGTATGACGTGTCTTTTTGAGGGAATAAAAACAATCCTCTCCAGGTCAACTTCCCCGCAGACTCTAATTTGCTGCTGTTTCTCTTGAAACTGACATACAATTCTACTCGAATACCATTGCCAACTTCCTAAGTACTTAAGGGGAGGGAGAGACTGCCTCTCATATAGTCACATGATCAGTCCAAATGTTGAACTAGTAGTAGAATTCTGTTCTGTATTAGATACATAAACCTCATCCATGTAATCATTCATTTATGTGGCTATATTTCAGACTGGATACTAAGAAGGGTGAATGGTATGTCTTGGAAACAAATTATGACCACTGGAAGCCTCCACTAGCCATTGACAACAGAAGGGATCCAGCCATGAAATGCATGAACCGAACAGGACAAAAGGTAACCTAAAGCATGTCTAACTTCAAGAACACAAATGTAATATATGGCAGCTTACCAGTCTTTAGAGGAGATAGCTACGATACTAGCCAAGAATGGCAATACTCACTCAATATGCTATATGTACAGTGTTGTCACCCTAGGAAGGAAGTGTGTTAGAACTAAAGAACACCCCCTTCTCGGGGGCGGCATTTTTTTTTTTTTTTTTTTTAAATTCAAAAGCATTTTAATTCATATTGAAATGGGCATAAAGCAACAAAGACATGCACTTATATTGTACGCAGTCAAAAAAAAAAGAAGGTACATTCTCTACAATATAGCATGCACAGAAGGAATGTATACATAAACACATGACCCAAATTTTCTGAAAAATTTTTGGGGCAACCTCTGTGGTCATAGATCAGTATTTTATATGGAAATGTTTTATTACCACTTCCCATTGTTAGTAAGTACCCCATCTTGGTTACACACCTTAGCTATCCGTAAACAATACCTCAGGCAAAAGAATCAATAGGTAAAATAAGTCATTTTTACCAGTTATTAATAGCTGAATAACCTCCAAAATCGTTAATATTCATGAGAGAAGTGTTCAAAGTGCTTGTAAACCTCAGACATGAAATACACGAACAAAACATATCCCTCTAAAGCGTGTACTTGTCTCAATTAAGAGCACTAAGTGTCATTTCTGTCTGCTGCTTCATTCCTCTGCTGTCAATTCTGACAAGTTTTCCTGACACCAAGAGAAAAAAGGTGACGGGGTTGGACCTCTAACACACAGCCTGTGATTGACAGCCTTAGATCTCTTGCTGTGTGCTGTGTGAATGATGGAGGTGTTCCTTCCATCCAGTCAGTTTTCAGTTCTCCTCACTGAGCTCTGCAGAGTGTTGCTTCAGCTCTCCACCCCCCTGTTTTCTGAAAGTTCAGGAAAGCTGTATAAATTCTCGACTTTGAATGGTTGTAGAGAAAAGAAGACTGCAGATTAACAAGTACAACATATGTAGAAGGATTTGTTTGATCTCTGTGTATCACCTGAGGCCGGTCACTTCACTTGATAATATGTGAGAGTTTACAACCACTTTAAGCGAAAGGCCTTCTAAATATAAAATCATATTGTCATCGTACAATCCAGCTTTTTCAACATGTGCTGCCACCTGTAGACCTGTATCAGGATGTTCCCTGAGTCAAGCAGCCAGAGGTTCAATCACAATGGTGATACAGAAGAGAAGGGGGACATGTATATCTTGTGCCCCTGGTGAGTGGAAAAACCTGAGATGTCAATCTCTGGCCATGGGAGAAGCAGAGAGACGTTGTAGCAATTTAATATTTCAAGGGTCAAACCTAAAGATGTGTAACATTTTGTCACAAGTAGCCCTATTCCACAGAATCAAATGTCTTTGCTACATCCAGACTCGACTCAATCCTAGCGTTCATCTGGTATTCATGAATAAAAATTTCCTGTTAAGTGAGGTGGTTTTACTGGGCATGAAGCCAGTTTGATCCGGGTGTACAATGGTTTGGATTACTTGAATAAGCCTGAGGAAAAGTATGTTCACTAAAATGTTAACATCTGTTTGTAGTGAAGATACAGGTCTATAGGATGCTGGATCAAGAGGGTCTTTATTTGGCTTAAGGGTAAGAAAGATAAGCTCTTAGACATAGATGGTGGGAGTGTAAAAGTCGTATATGTTGATAGAGCAGATACTCAGAGTCCGATTTTGTCTTTTAATATTGCATGATCATAATACTGTACCTTATATTTTGCTTATTTTTTGCAGAGTATTTCATTTGCAACAATTTATAATGTGCTTTCTACTAAGCCTGTTCTTAACAAGGTAAACATCTTACAACTATGTATTAAGATATTATTATTATACAGAATTTATATAGCACCAACAGTTTGCTCAGCACTTTACAATATAAAGGGAGACAATACAGTTCAATACAAGAGGGTTAGGCGAGCCCTGCTCCTTGGAGCTTACAATCTAAGAGGGAGGGGCTAGTGGTACAAAAGGTAATAACTGTGGGGGATGAACTGGTAGGAGGAATAGAAGATTCCATTATTAGCTGAAGGCAGGATAGGCTTCCCTGAAGAGATAGGTTTTCAGTGATTGCCTAAAAGTGGGCAAAGTAGGTGATAGTCTGATAGATTGGGGTAGAGAGTTCCAAAGGATGGGGAAGGCTCTGGAGAAGTTCTGGAGAGGAGGAGTCCTGGGAGGAGGAGACAAGGGAGCTAGAGAGCAGGAGGTCATGCGAGAGCGGAGAGTACGGTTTGAGTGATATTTGGACACAAGTTTGGTGATGTAATTTGGGGCATATAAATGGTTTTATATGTTATTGTTAATGTTTTGAATTTTATTCGTTGGGCAATGGGAAGCCAGTGGAGGGATTGGCAGAGAGGGAAGGCAGATATGGAACGGTTAGTAAGGTGGATGAGTCTGGCAACCTCATTCATGATAGACTGAAGAGGGGATAGCCTGCGATGAGGTAGGCCAATGAGGAGGGAGTTACAATAGTCAAGGCGAGAGATAACCAGGGAGTGAATAAGTTGCTTAGTAGTTTCAGAGGTTAGGAACGGGCGTATCTTGGAGATGTTATGGAGGTGAAGTCTACAAGATTTGGACGGTGATTGGATTTGGGGCTGAAAGGACAGATGGGAGTCTAGGATTACACCTTGTACATGAGGGGAGGGACTGATGGTTGTATTGTTGATCTTGATGGAGAAGTCAGGGGAGGGGGCAGGGGCTGGAGGGAATACTAAGAGCTCAGTTTTGGAAAGGTTGAGGAAGTGGAGTGACATCCATGCTGATATGTCGCTTAGTAGGTTAGTAATGCGAGAGGAGAATGAAGGGGTGAGGTGAGGAATAGAAAGATAGATTTGTGTATCATCAGCATAGAGATGGTACTTGAAGCCATGGGAGTTTATCAGGTGACCAAGGGAGGAGGTGTAGATTTAGAATAGTAGGGGTCCAAGGACAGAACCTTTAGTGACCCCTACAAAAAGAGGAGGTGGAGAGGACTAGACCGAGTTATAGGTAACGCTGAAGGAGCGCTGCAATAGGTAGGAGGAGAGCCAGGAGAGAGCGGAGTCTCGGAGGCCAAGAGAGTGGAGTTTTTTAAGAGGAGGAGATATCTGCTCAACAGTATCAAAAGCCGCAGAGAGGTCAAGTAGTAAGAGTACGGAGTAATGGCCATTGGTTTTAACTGTAAGTAGATCATTAGTGAGTTTTAGTAGGGCAGTTTCAGTGGAGTGTAGTGAGCGAAAGCCAGATTGTAAAGGGTCAAGAAGGTTGTTGTCGGTGAGGTGGGAGCTCAGGCGATTGTAGACTAAGTGTTCTAGGAGTTTAGAGGTAAATGGCAGCAGGGAGATAGGTCTTAAGTTGTTCAGGTTGGTGGGGTCCAGGGAGGGCTTTTTATGTATGGGAGTGATGTGTGCATGCTTTAGAGGGGAAGGGAAGGCACCATTAGAGAGGGAGAGATTGAAGATGTGAGTGATGGAGCATAGGATGGAAGAGTGTGACCGTAGTAATTGTGAGGGGACAGGATCCAGGGGGCAGATGGTGAGGTGGGCTTCTGAGAAAACTTTAGTGACCTCTTCAGTAGTAGCAAGGTCAAAAGAGGAAAGTGTCGAGGGAGGTTTAGTATAAGGTATGCCACTAGGAATTGCATCAATCTTGTTTTTAAAATGATTTGCAAGCAGTGAGTGAGGTACTGGGTGGAGGTGGAGAAAGTAGAGAGTTAAAAGTAGTGAAGAGACGACAAGGACTGGATGACAAGCTATGACACAAAGTAGGCTTGTTTGGCAGCATGGAGGGAGGAAATGTCTGTTAATTGTATGATATACTGATATATCCTTAAAACGTTCCTTCCCCTGTATCCTGCATACCCTATGTAAAAAGATCTGTGTACGTACCTTTTTTTTTTTTTTAATCCAGTTTGGTCCAGTCACATGATTCCACAGCTCTGGCTCCCCATTGTATGTCTAGCTTTTACACCTATGCGTTTTCCAGTTGGTCACATGCCTGATGAAGGGGTCCTGTGAGACTCCGAAATGTTGCCTTGCTGTAACTATGTGATTGTTCATTAAAACTTTTGGACCCATATTGGTGATCCTTGCTGTGCTGGTGACATTCTCCCTTGCATTTTGCAGAAACGCATAGCAGTCCATTTAACCTTATTTCCTATGGGACAGGTTCACATCTAAGCGTTTTCACCCAATGCATTTTTTGGAAAGGGTCAGGGACTTTTTTAACCACAAAACATTGCGTTTTTGGTTCTATAGATCTCAATGGAGATGCTGCAGAAAAGCATGTAGTGCGTTTTTGTTGCATTTTTATTCTGCCCAGCAACAAGATGGGGAAAAAAAGCAAAACGCATCACAAACGCATGTGTAAAACGCAAAATGCACTTCAAAAAGCACTGCAGAAATGGATCAAACGCAAACTGCATATATGTGAATCTAGTGTAAGGGAGTGCTCAACAACATCTGTGAAAGCCAGGAGCTATGATGTTGCCCGTAGGCTCCCATGGCCCCTCCATTTGGCACCCCCTCCTCCCCCCTGCAGCATCCACTCACTGACATAGGGTAACTAGAGCTGCAGGATCACATGACCAGACCGAAGCAGAATAAAAAGAAGTACGCAGACGTTTTTTTACACAGGATAGGTAGGAGGAGGGAGAATGGAACTTTCTTAAGAACAGTTAGTTAGGCTCTTCTTCCTCTTTAAAAACTTGCAAATCTTTCTAAAACTGAGCATTCCAGTTATACTCCTTTTGTGTTTTACCTAACAGGAAATGACCATGTTGTATTTTGATATGCCTTATGCACCAGTATGTATAGCCTACTGTTACTGATACTACATATTGTACCGAATACGGACTAAAGCCTTCATCTTATGGTCTGCGTACTTCCCTTTTTGTTTCTTCATGTGCACTTGTTATAATAACAAAACATAAAAATCTGAGTATTTCCTTTTGGTGGATGTTGTTGAGTTTAGTCAGCTTTTCCAATAAAGTTCTTTAATATTCAGTGAGCCCGGAAGAGTTATTTTGCGGTGCTCACCACAACGAACAGTGTACTTTACCTGCTATTGGAAATTCATTGTGGTCACGTCCAGATCCCTTTTGCCCAGGAGCCCTAAAAGCTCATTTTACACAAACTGTCACATAGAAAGTTGACACTTGGCCCATCCTTCGTGCTTTTCTCTGTTAGTTCTTGATGGAGCAACATATTAGCACATGATGGGAGGGCCAAGCCTCAACTTTCTCATCTAAAGAGAAAACTTGCATAAATGAGCTTTTGGAGCGCCAAGAATACTTAACGAGATTTGGCGCTAAATCATGTAATTTAGTATAGCAATTCAATAGCTGTTTAAAGTAAACTCTAGGGATGAAAAACCTTTGTCATTGCAATGGGTACCCCTTACCACTTCAAGCATTAACTTCTCATATTAGCTAGAGGATGAACAATAAGAGGATATACCTATCGGTTTCCTCACTCCTGCAGCAGCCAGTGCTCTCCTGCACTACTTGTCGCTCCCGGCTTGTAGGCAGGCGCTAAGGGTCCTCCTATATAATGCAGGACTGCTGCAGATAGCTGCGGCCAGTCAGACAAAAAAAGAGAGATTTCAATGGATGGGTAGCACAAAGAGCGGGCCTGTAGGAACAAAGAATCAGGTAAGTATATCACCTTATGGGGGAGATTTACTAAAACTGGAGCATTCACAATCTGGTGCAGCTGTGCATAGTCACCAATCAGCTTCCAACCTCAGCTTTTTCAATGAAGCTTTGACAATAAAACCTAGAAACTGATTGGTTTCCATGCAGAGCTGCACCAGATTTTGCACTCTCCAGTTTTAGTAAACAACCTCCTATTTGTCATCCCCTAGGCAGGATGACCAGCAGTTAACTCTTGCAATGGAGAGGGGGAACCACTGCAAAGGGTAAAACATTTTTGTCCCCAGAATTCAGCCTCAAGCAGTGTAAAAGTACTTGTACTCCTTTTTTTTTTTTTTTTTTACGCCACATTATATAGTAATGTGGATGAAAATTTTTCAGTATTCCTCCACTGATCATACAAAGTGAACAACTCCACATAGTCTCCACATTGAAGTGAAGCCTTGAGAATTACGCACTAGGGTGGTGCACCCTTTTGTTTCCTTTCTATTTTTATTCCTCCACTGATGCTTCAGATGTCATGTTTTTTCTTGTTTTTTAATAATTGCATTTTACAATATACAATATGATGTGTGATAAGTGAAATCTAGACTATACTTATGACCTGGAGTACATTATATAATGTTTCTTGGGATTTAAACAGGCAGGCGTTGTAAATCCTAAGCATGCATGCAGTGTACACTTGGATGATGAAAAAAAAAAATAAAGCACCCAGATGACATAAGTATTACAGTCCACATGAATTTTTTACTGGGAGTTCATGGGCTGGACTAATAAAAACTGGACAGAATAGTGGCATTGTTCAGAATAATCAATGACAAATCATTTCTGAAGTAAAAAAGTAAAATCAGGTATCTGATTAGCTGCTTCAAGCTACATCCCACTTTTCTGTGCTGCTGCTATATGATTATATGATTCTCTGTCTTGATGTATTTTTTTTTGTATTTCCTGCAGCTTACCACATACACAGCCATGATGTCACTTTCTGAGAACAAGCTTGAGGCCTACCTTAGGGACTGTCCAGATCCCTGTATGCCTTGGTGAAAGGACAAATGCTGGAACCTGGGACTCAATAGAAAATATATCTGCTTTCTGCAGCCCATAATAACTTGAAGCTCCCTTGACTTGGAAACTTTACTGTCTTCCAAAAGAGACTGCAATAACAAGCCAGTGTGTACTGTTCTCATGTGACTCTAGCAGATTGCATTTCTTAAAATATGTATATCTTTTAATGGTGAGATTTATCTTTTTCAAGTCTTGGAAGCCTTTTTAACCAATCCTATGCCTAAACCAGTCTTATCATGTAAATCTAAATGAGCATATGTTATCTATTTCCTTTATACAGGCTTAGACATGTTCTGCATATATGGCGGCATGCCGTGAGCAAAGTAACATGCAGAGTAGACAGCTGTTCTGTCCCTAAAATGAAGCCAAAAAAAAAGTCGCCATAGATTACTAATATATTTCATCACATGCCAGTGTCTCTTTATGGGATTAGTTCCTCTTTAATGCTTGCCTTATTACTGAGCTAGTGTTCAAGAATAAATTAACAAAACAGCAGTATCATTTAAAATGGTTTACTATATTGTGACAAATGCAGGGAAATGTAAATAAAATTGTAATATTTGTTTTCCTAATGATTGATATAATTGTATGTTCAGTACACACAGTGTACTAGTAACATGCTGCTGTCAGATTGTATAACTGGCTCTCTTAATTATTTTTATGTTTTTGCATAAGATGCTTCTATCCAGTTTTATTTGCACTGAACAAAACTGTATATTTCAGACTTTTTGAGCAATCTAAACCATTAGCAGGGTGATTTACTAAAGACTGTAATGTATTGCACTAGCCTCTGTTCACCTCAAAGACCCCAGTTTAAAGTGTACCTGTATATGTGGAAAATGTTCCATTGTCTTGTCTTATTTTTTGAGTAATGATTTCAGAGGTCTTTGGAAGAGGGATAAGCTCTACACATTATACTAGTTTATAGTTTTTACTGTTTAACCCCTTGACGCCGAGCGCATGCAAATATGCGGCCTCTTGGTGTCTGGGCCTTGATGCCGAGCAGCCGCGTATTTGTGTCTAATTAGAAAATACATATGTGCTTTGAGCGCACGTTCACACGGAAAGGTCCCAATCTCCCCTTTCGATCGGGACCTTTTCTGATCGTGTGACCACCGTGACGGCAAATCACGGCGGTCACGTGACCCTAAAACCCCTCCCGGCTTCTGAAACTCTTAAAGGGCCAGGAGGTGCCGGCGCAAAGTGGTTAAAGAATATGTAAACCCTCACCTTGTAAAACAACTAATTCAGTTTAAAATAGAAATGAAGGGCAAAATATTTGTGTATAGATATAAAACAAACACATTCTAAACACTTTTTTCCCCTTTTTTATAAGTGTTCCTCTGTTATCAGATGCATACGAGCTGGGGGAGGAGAAACAGCAGCACACTAATCTTCCCAGTGAATGGCTGTGCAGGGGGGGGGAATCGTGTCAGGACAAGTCTGACCATTGGAGGAGAGCAGGCAGAGTTCCCAGCACAGCTAGAGAACTGACCATGGTATGTTCTGCTTAGTGTGGTCAGTTTTTCATAAGAAAGCAGAGGAAGTGGTAGGAAGTCCAGGAATTTCACACAAACGAAGCAATACAAAGATAACAGGACTTTTTTTTCATAATTGCACATGGTACAGCAGGCACGTATCAGGAATATAAAATCTTGGGTTTACATATTCTTTAAGTGTTGCTGTCTTGTACATGGTGTAAGGCAAGACTGTGGAATAGCTTAAAATGTCATTGTTAACTCTGATTTTCTGAATGACTGTTGGAGCTTAATCAGGAAAAAAAAAGAGCCTTACTGGCGTAGATAATGACTGACGCATAATTACTTTAAAATAAAGTAAAAACAAAATAGAATGTGTACTAGGATGAGCCAATTGATTTAGTGATGTCTAAATATATTAATGCTGATTTGTGCATTAAGCAGAATCCTACAATTGGTAGAACTAGTGAATCACAGATTTCTGATTTGCCGAATATTTCCATGTAGATCTGTCTGATGCATGGAGAATCGTGCTGTTCAAGAATCTATTTGTGGTTTTCTGCAGATGGAAACATACTGAAGTCTGTTCAGGTGAATGAAAAAAAAAATTTGATTCACCTGATGTACATCAATTTGCTTATTCCTCAAATCTACCTCTTCTATAGCATTATGTTCAGTAAGGCTTTTAAGTGGAATTTAATAAAAAGGCGTGGGGGTGTTCTGTTTTGCACTGATAAACCAAATCTTTTTAAAGCAATGCAATCCTATAAAATATACTGTATAAGAATCTATTTAAGTAAAGAATTACTAATTCTACTATCACTTGGTGTTGTGTCTTTACTAAAATTCTAGAATGTTATAGATGTAGGACTCGCACAAACCGTTATCTTTTTTCCCCACATGCCTGTGCTACTCACAAAAGTGAGTTTTATGGACAAGAGCTGTATTTCCATGACATCACTCGCATGTTAATGAATTCTTCTGCGAAGTCTTTTCCATGTCAGTATTGTGCAGCAACAATAAAAGCAATACAGAGTGCACATCTCAAATCACCAGGTGGTGTTAGTGAGCGTAAAATCAGAGCAAGCTCTCACTAGAAGATAACAAGTGAAAGATGTGATTCAATAAATCACATTATAACTCACCATGTACAAATATCCACAATTGTCATTGCATAATGGTCACTGGTGCCCAGGCACTATATAATAACAGTCCAGCACACAGTCTAGGGCTTCTGGGTGGCCAGAGGGGGAGCTTTGGGGAAATGAAAAGCATGAACAAAGAGAAGAAACCCGCTCACAGACTACAGTATAATATGCTAAAAACAAAGTGTATTTATTATGTATTGAAAATAATATGCACTCACAAACACACCAGGAGGCAGAGCATAGCATGACCAGGGGAGCAGGTAAGCCACTCAGGTGTAGCGTGGAGTAAGCCCTGCTGGGCTGTACAGAGAGGAAACACTGCAGGAGCCTAGACCGCTGAGTTGCATGGAGGGTGACACTCTTGCTGTCAATGGAAGCCCCCCTGCCTGGATGACATCCTCGTGGAATAGTGTCAGGGGTGGAACACATATCGGAGGGATTTCCTCTAGACTGGCAATCCACACTACACCTGAGTGACCTACCTACTCCCCTGGTGTGTTGCTATGGATTAGTTGGTGATATTTTCTATAGCTTAGATATGTGATTTTAAGTTACATGTGTTGTTTAGAAGATAAGGCTCCCCTATTGATATGCAAATTAACCTGCTGGACTAGTTTATGAGCTCAGCACAGGAAAGTCAGGCTATGGGATATGATGTAGCAGGAAATAGTAGTGGGGGGGAATAGGACTTTTGAACAGGCCATGTGCTCAGACAAAGAGTTGTTCTGGGGACAAAGGAGGAACACACTTGTCCTGAAGACAGAAGAGAACCATGCATAAGATTCCATCAATGGATAGCCCAAGCTGAGCAGTTGTTTAGTATACGTGTTGCATACATATTGTATTTTCTTATTTGCTAGATAGATTGTCAGCTTATGAGAAAAGAGGCAAGAAGGCGCTTCGAAGTGCAGTAGATCTGGAACATTTTAATAAGAACGGTAAAACCATTTCCAGAAGTGGTACAGATAACAAGCTCATCAATGAATGTTGCTGCGGGGCATCTGTCACTGTGTAGCAACCCGCTATGCCACCCAGCAGCTGCAGGGAGAGCGCAAAACCAGAAGTGACTTCAAAAGGGGCAGTGACGCGTTTCGGAGCATGTGTGGAACACTCCTTCATGGCACACACTCTGAGCTCCCCCTGCAGCTGCTGGCTGGCATAGCGGGTTGCTACAGTGACAGGAGCCCTGCAGCAACGTTCATTGCTGAGCCTGTTATTTGTACCACTTCTGTAAATGTTTTTAACCATTCTTATTGAAAAGTATTTTATTTTCATTACATAATAAAAACACATTGTTTCAAGCATACTACACTATAATCTGTACATGGGGTTTTCTCTTTATGCAATAAATAAACATGTTGCATGTTGAAAAATAGGTAAAAACCCATGTGGGATTTATTAATGGGCCTGGTTATATGGGAAGCCCAAGTTCTTTGTAAAGGTCCAGCTTGGCCCCACCCTCAAGCATCCACTTGAATCCTAAAAACAATGGGTTGCTTACTGACCAATAGGGAAGCAGAAAGGGACCTGAGCCAAACTTGACGGTCTAGATTTGCATTACCTTTAGCTGTCTGTACCTGAATCAAATCATTGTTTGAAACTACAGCTCACACTGAAGGAAACAATTTTTTTTCATCATATGATTAGTCAGAATAGCTGTTTTGTAACCAATTTCCCAATTTTATTTTTTAATTTATTGTTTTTGTGTGATGACGCAACCCTGGGAAAGGGTGGGGGGTATTTGTGGACACTCTATGTAATGCTGCTGAACTGAGCAGCACTCGTGTGTCCTTATGCAGGAGATAGTGCACTGCCACTGAGAAAGAAGAATGCATAGCATTACGGCTGAAGAGTACATGAATGGTATGCACAGAGAGTTTAAAGAGAAAAACTAACTAGAGAAGGGGGGTGGCAAAAGGTGGAATTCCATTGTTTAAATACATAATATACAGAGGCTTCATCATCAGTCCTACAGTCCTTTTCTATTCTATGATTGCGTCTTGCACACCACCATTCAACTATTCAGTATGGAAGCCCAGCGGGTCAATGGAGACCTCTGCATTACTTTGTTTACAGAAACTAAGTTGTTTACAGATTACTAAGTTTACAGAAACTTAAAACACATTGGAATATTATTCCAACAGACAGAAATACAGTCAAGTCCATAAATATTGGAACATCGACACAATTCTAACATTTTTGGCTCTATACACCACCACAATGGATTTAAAATGAAACGAACAAGATGTGCTTTAACTGCAGACTGCCAGCTTTAATTTGAGGGTATTTACATCCAAATCAGGTGAACGGTGTAGGAATTACAACAGTTTGCATATGTGCCTCCCACTTGTTA